GCTCACCGAGTTGCTCCGAGAGGCCTTTGCATGCACAGAGTTATACCCACATCCAAACATCTCGCTCTCTTTTTTAGCCCACATTTTCTGACTGCAAATATATAAGTGCACCGGCTCAGGAGTGGATGATAAAATGCAACCCCCCTCTCAACCCCCTCCCACCACCACCACCACCTCCACCCACACATATACTGGTATACATGCACACACACACACATGCACAACTCTGCAGCTCAGCAATGCTGTGCAGAGCTAATAGATAAAAGAGGAGGGAGGAAGAGGAGGGAGAGAGAGCAAAAAGGGAGGGGAGAAAATAATGAAGAGGATGAGGAGGAGAAAGATGAGGAAGGAGGAGAGGGAATCAACAGATGCAGTGTGGAGAGGAGCGGAGGGGAATGGTGGATGAGGACGAGGCCTCCATCGGCGGCACAGAGAGCCCTGCAGCACAGAGCTGCAGCACATAGACTGGACGTGATGAAATGCTGCACGGCGTTTTCACATCTGACCTGAAATGTCGGTTATCTGCCTCCAGCATCGCACTCGCAATAACTGGAGGTCGTTCCTGGCTGATTATGTTCAGATTATGTGGACTCGTAGCCACAGTGTGAAGCAGTGTTAGCTGCATTTGGCTGAAAAATAAGAAGTGTTTTACTGTATTTTTTACCATTTGATGGTGTAAATACTGTGTAATATAAGAGTAAAGCTCTTGGAGCAGGAAATATTGGATGTTAGCTCAGCGTTTGAACCACTTAGATTCTAAGATATTCATGTTTTTGATGATTTTTGCTCGACTAGGGGTTGGATTTAAGGATAGAGATGCTCCAGAGTAGAAAGTTATTTGCAGAGTTGTTATTAAATTGCTCTGGATATCGACTGCAAAACCCCTAAAACATGATGTGGTGAATGATCAGGGTGCACATATAATGACCATTTTATCAATCCTTTGACCTCTTTCCCCACATTTCTTGTCTCTCTTTACCGTCTTCATGACATAAGGGAAATGAGAAAAAAAACTAGAAATGATTCATGCTGATGACCCACTGGCCTTCCACCAGCTCCACCCTTTAGGGCAGAATTTCTTTCTTACTAAAACTCCAAGTGAAAGAAAACTAAAGCTTGTACTGTCATGCAGCTAATATTCAGGATCCCCAGAGGATGAACTCTGATGTTTCTTGGTGACTGCTTTCTTCCATCACCACCAGATAAAATCCCAGCAGCTGTAATGGTCAGTATTTTACTGTATTTTTACAGTGTTCCTCTCACAATTTATTTAAACAGTTAAATATTTTTAAATCTATTTGTGTCTACATTTACTCAGCAGCAGAATATGAGGTTTCCTGTTTAATGCCGTAACTAGAATACCAACAGTATACTGTATTTACATAGCGCTGCCTCTGTAATCAACAATATGTATAACTGTAATTGCAAATTAGTTATAAATAATAACACTTTGGATGATATTTTAATGTAGTAATAATATTCTTAGCTGCCTAAATCAAGTCTAAACAGTGCTTGGCCAACAGCAAATCTCCAGATTTTAAGTTTTGTACGTCACATGCCTCAGTATGTAACACTAGATTTACACTGCTTAAAAAAAATCTGTAAAACAAAAAAAACTAAACATTAGAAATATGGCAGCAATGGTGAAAAATACACTGAAAAATGATAAAATACTGTATCTGTAATTTAACAAAACAGGAGATTTTTTTCTTTTAAATAACAGCAAATGTTTGTGTATGAGTTATATATGTATTTTTTTGCAGATTTTTAATATGTTAAAAACAGTGTAATTTTACATTGAAATGTTATGAAACATTAAATTGCCATTTTCAAATTTACTAATTTTTGATCTTGTCATGAATTACAGTTTGGGCCTTTTTTTTTTTTTAGGGTTAAAGTATAAATTCATATTTTTTTTCTGTGATTTAACTGTTCATTATCTGCAATTTAACAATAAAGGCAGATGTTTAAAATAACAGTTTAAAAACTATTTACCATTTTTTAATCTTTAATATACTTTTTTGGTAAAAGAGCTAGTTTAGATATTTTTGATGTGTAATTTTTTAAATATTTAACTTGTAAATGATCACTTCCTTCTGTGAGTTTGCTGGTTTTTATCTGTAATTTAGCAAAACAAGGAAAATCTGAAAAATAATAATTAAAAACTATTTATCCTTTTAAAAAAAAACAGCTTTAACATACATCTTACATTTGTCTTCAAATAATGGCAAATATAATCAAACATAAACAAACAAAAACAACAACTTTATTTTATTATTATTATTATTTTCTTTTCTTTCCATTTCTTTATATATATATATACAGATTTCAATAGATGTTGTAAAAGAACAAATTATCTTCAAATAATGGCAAATATCTGTAAAATACCTTTATTGTTGTTGTTATTATTGTTATTATACAGACATACATATACATTTTATTTGTTTATTAACAAATTTAAATAAATGTTGCAAAAGAAGAAATTCACATTTGTAAAAATATAGATTTCTGATGTGGATTTTTATTTTATTAAAAAAACAACAGTTTGATGTTATTTTTTTAGGATTAATGTGTAAATCAATACTTTTTTCTGTGATTTTGCTCGTTATTAACTGTAATTTAGCAAAACAGGGGAAGTCGGCTAATTATTCCAAAACCTGCAGTTAAAATGCTCATTTTTTACAGTGTGCTTTGGTCTATAGCACCAGATCTATGTGAATAGATGGTGAGTGCTGTGGAGAAAAAAAAAAGATGTAATTGGGTTTCCTTTGATGATGAGGCCTTGAGACCTGGGAGATGTACGCTTTGAAAATAGGGCTGTAAATCCATTAGGCAGGACATGCTACATTTTTTCTTTTTTTAATGCACATGATGACATTGCAAATACATAGGAGGAGGAGGAGGAGGAGGAGGAGGAGGAGGAGGAGGAGAGCTTCATCAGTACAACAGGAGGAGCTCTTCTATCGCATCTGATTCTAGACCTCACATCTCCCGAGATAAGAGAGAGACTCAGGGAATTCATGGGAGGGATGGTTGGAGGGATGGGAGTCAGGGTGAGGTGTGAGGGAGGGAGGGAGGGAGGGAGGAGGAGAGTTATGTGAAGATGTGGAAAGTGCAAGGAGACAGCAGAGGAGACAGACATTTTCCTCGACAACAGTGACAGACAGACAGGCGAGAAGAGGGAGAAGAAGAAGGCATGAGACAGGTGGAGAGTTGAGGTGGAAAGAAGTGGAGACAAGAGTGAGCTAAAAAAGAGAGTGGGAGGTACACTCAGCTCTGAGAGATCGAAGACAAGCCGAGCGAGAAGAGGAGGGAAGGAGGAGAGAGGAGACGGAGTGACGGATGGAGAGGAGGACAGAGGAGGAGGAGAGGAGGAGGAGGAGGAGAGAGGTGAGGAGAGACAGAGAGAGAGAGGGGAGAGGTGTTGTTCATTAGTGAGGATGTGTTAGGGACCGAGCAGGAGGTGGATGCTGAGGTTCACGGACACTGACTAATGAGAGGAGAGAGGAGGGAAGGAGGCAAGGAGGAGAGGAGGAGGAGGAGGGTGAAAATGACACTGGAGAGGGGAGGAAGAGGAGGGAGGAAGAGGGGTGGAAGTGAGCGAAGCGAAACTGATGGGGGAGGGGAGGAATTTGCACGTACGCACACACACACACACACACACACACACACACACACACACACACACATGCACACACACAAAGCTGAAATCGCAAGCGACATGAGAGAGAGATAAGTAGCCAGAGAGAGGGGAAAGAGGAAGAGGAGGGATGAGGAGGAGTGAGGAAGAGGAAGAGGAGGAGGAGGAGGAGGAGGGGAGGAAGGAGGAAAGGAAAAAAAAATCAGGCAGGGGGGCACAGACTGAAGAGAAAAGGGGGGGAGGAGGAGCAGAATTAGGGCAGGAGGGAGGAAAGTGTTGGAGGAGGAGGTGGAGGAGGCAGCAAAAGGGAGAGAGAGATGGAGATAAGGTGGGGAAACGAGGGGATGAAGATGAAGATGAAGAGGAGGAGGAGGAGGAGGAGGTGGTGGTGATGCCAAAGAGAAAGAAAAAAGCTGGAGGAGTTTGTAACAGGCTGCTACATGTCAGCAGCTTCTCTCTGTGTGTGTTATTGTGTTTATTGGCAGCATCAGGTGAGAGAAAAATCCTGCCTTCCCTATTCTGCTCATCCACCTGTGCACACACATGCACACACATGCACACACACACACACAGGCTGCAACTCTTTGAACTATTTTGAATAATACAAAAATAAAAAAATATAATAAACTCAGCGCACTGAGGCTATTTATCTGAGTCATTCTTGCACAAAGTCTCACACACTCGGTTCAATTGTCGCCCCGCTCTCCTGCCCTTTTCTCCACCAGGCATACATTAGTACAAGTCTGGACAGCCTGCCTCAGCACAGGGATGCACAGCTGACGAATCCCTCCGCCGACACACTGGCAAGTAGTCCCTAATTTATGGGATTTTGATAGATGGCAGATTAAGACTTTATAAAAGCTGTTATTTTAATAAAAAAATAAAACCACATCTTGTTTGCTGTTCGATTTAAATTGCATAAATTGTGTAGTGATTATGATATAAACCAGCAAGTAGAAAAAATTACCCTTTTTTTATTTTTTATTTTTTTAACAATCGAAGCTTTTCAACACAACGTGCTGTCAATAAAACCAACAGCACTCGTGTCTGTTGAACTACACGTTCAACGGGAATATTAGCCAAAGTTAATAGTTTCGCGGGACTACTTTTTGTCAATCCAAACGGCTGCTTGGGAGAGGCATCGCGGCGGATGTCCACCTCACTCCGGTGCGGGTGTTGTCCGTCTCCCCCGGCTGCTTCCATCTATCCATGCAGTTCACTTCATTGTACTGGCTGTGCTCATCAATTAGGCGAGAATTAAGCCGTTTTAGGTGCATTAATTACCTGCCGGCACTTCGAGGAGGATTAGGAAGCGCGGACGGAGGCTCGGGAGAAGTTTTTGAGTGCGGTGGAAAGCGGGGGAAAACGAAAACACAGGTACGGCGTGACTGTTATCTCCACTTCCAACTATTAACGTTACTAATGTAACGCGAGGGTACTAGCCGCAAGCTAGCCGGCTAACGTTAGCATCCCGGCGACCAACTAGACTTAAAATTGCACTTTGGTGAAAGGAGGAGGGGGCAGAAATGTCGCCTATTTTTTATTGTTCAGCCGTCAGGAATTACTTCGACCGACCACGTTGCTACCGTTTGTAGTTTAACGTCCCGGAACAGACCGGCAAGTTGACTTATTGTGAGCCAAAGAGCGAGTTTTTTTTTTTTTTTTTACTCCATGCCAGCGGCAGACAGTAGTTGTAGTAACAGCAACGTAAGCGTGGGGAAAACAAAAGGACTTCAAAGTCTGACACGGAGCTCACTGATGAGCTGCTAAAATATTGATTTCAGCTCCTAAACGTGACTCAGATGGAAGAATAGTGGGTGCCTTTTTTTTTTTTTTTGGAGCGATGTGTAATTCTAAACTAATTCACAGAAGCCAAAGATTAAACCGATTTTGAAGGGATGGTTAAAAAAATGACTCATTTTTAGTGACAAATAAGCCACTTTTAAGTCACTCTGTGAGATGAATGAGCACCTTATTAGTCACTGTAGTTATTTGTAGTGTGATTTAAAAAAAATGAAAAGAGGAAGTTCATCACTAAGAAATGTGCAATATTGAAAAAACTAAGCCAATGAATCATGATTGTGTACAGCAATGCATGTGGTGTCTTATTTATATTGTAAGTTTAAAAAAAAAAAAGTTGTAAAAAATATCCTGATCAGAGGTTGCATTGAGCGACTCTCATTGCTGCCAATAGATCGTAGTTTATCGCTCATGTTGCTCAGTTGATTAATCAGGCAACAGATCGAGGCGACCGTGATCGAGGCTACTGAAACTCCCTGAAAGTGAAGTGGGGAGGGATTCACACCCCTCCTTTCTAGTCTCAGTTTCATCGATTACCTAAACTTCAATATATCCTCCAAAAAGCTTGAGATATGTCAGCTTGAGTTGAAGTTGAAGGGGGGGCAGATGCTTCAGTTTTGAGGGGGGGTGGTGGTGGTGGTTGCACCAGCGATAGACAAAGACCTCCAGAGAGCCTCAGACTCTTGTATTGTCCTGCTCGGAGTTCAGTAGATGTGATTTAAGGTCTCGGATTGTGAGGATCGAGCCCCGCAAGGAGCATAACTAGTCACGTTTAAACACGAGGGTGCACGTAAGTCCGTCCTCGTATAACTTCGCGTCCCTGCTTTGTTCTGTCTGCGGTTCAAGTTAGGACACTGGTGATGAAGTTGCTGGCGGGGTGGGGAAAGCAAATCAAGCGTTCACAATCCACCGGAACAACGCGTGTTTATGCTCCGATCGGTGTTTGTGTATGTTGGGTTCGTAAACCGCACCGTGTTCGTGCGTAAAGGAGCGAGTTGTGGTGGGTTACTTTGTGCTTGTGTCCTGAGGTGACCGTCTAGTCTTTGTGCCACTGGCCCGGTTATACACAGTGACAGAGAGGCGAAAAAAAAAAACGAGGCTTGGTCACGTAATAACATAGCACCGACTGTGGATGACACTTGAAACGAAAGCCCCCTTCATGCAGGAGGGCTCTCATGTGATCCATGGCACGTTTTTTTTTTTTTTCCCCCTCCACACTGATTTACAGATGCTGCCACTCATTTGTTTGCTCGTGTGTGGATGCATTTCCTTGCCTTTTGAATGTGCTGGATCTCTTTGGATTTGAGGGTTTATATTGTTTTTTCCTTATTCACTAACATGTGAAAGAAAATGTAACTGCTCAACAACACTTAATGGAAATTTCTGTCTATAACTATTTGATTAATCATGTCTGTTATAAACACCTTTAGCGTTAAACATTTAGGTTATACTGGGGGTCAGAGAACACTGCATTGCCCTCCTGCGACCACACATAGTATAAAAAATGACTGCAGCGAGAGGTACAAATGGCAGTTATAAGGAAAAGAGAGCACCAGCATTGACTTGTTGACTACACTTCAGCTCTGGGGTTTCTTGAAATGTGGGTGGTGCCCCCATGACAGAGGCATGTTTTTAATTATCTGGAGTAACAAAGCAAGACTTGAGTTAATCAGTTTGGGTCCTGTGATGAGCAAGATGAAGAAGTGCCAGTTGATTGTGGCTGGATGTGCTTTTTGAGGTCGGTGCTTGGCAGAGGAAGAAGGAGGATTTACACTTAAGCAAAACAATCTAGCAATTAGTCATGTTTTAGACAATAAATAGAGGCAGTGTCAGGGAAATTCGTGCCCTCAGCTGAACTGTTGACAGGTCGTTTTGATGAGAGAGAGATGCTCGGTAATAAGGTGATGCTGAGATTTGTGGTGTGATAATGAGAGTTATAGAAAGATAACTGTTCAGTGTGAATGAGTTCTTGTACAGAAAAAGCAGTGTTTGGGAAAATAAACCCAGCTCAAGGGAATTAATGGGATTGCCTCCAAGCTAGCAGCATAAGGTACCACTCTACTTTACAAGAGTGAATTGGGTTTTATAGGGTTTCAAGTGAAAACAAATCGCAGCCAACACACTAATGAAAGAAGAACTAACTCATGGTTTAATGGGAGATTTAGTCACACTTAAGCGAGCGATGTTGATGAATGGTGGAGTTCAAGTCATGAAATTTTATATTTAGGGCGTGTGTGTGTGTTTGTTGCAGTCATGCCCTCAGTGATGGAGCGCTCGGGGGCCGGGGTCCTGTCCAGGAGCAGAGCCAAAACTGTAACCAACGGCAACAGCCAACCACACTCTGAGGAGGAGAGCAGCGATGAAGAGCATGCTCACGGTAGACGCACATTTAAAAAAAATATATTGTACTGACTTATAGATTCACTTCCCTCCAAGTTAGCCACTGATTTCACATCATGACAACTACGAATGTTCTGATATTCTAAAATGAAGCATTGCATAGCGTTTGTACATTAGCCACACACAGACATAGTAATGGTACAGAAGCATCATACCAGCTGTTACTGGGTGTATTAATTGCATCACTGCAGTGCTACTCTTGTCCCTGTACACTGCTTGCTCTGTCATCCCCTCCTTCTTGGCTCCAGCCCCTTCCCACACTCTTCATCCTTGTTATCCTCTGCCCACATACATCTTTGTCCTCCATTCTCTCTTTCAGCCTTATGCCAGAATTATTCAGATTAATTTTTCCCCTCATCAATCTGCACTCAGTTTCCCAAGAGCCAAAAAGCCAAAAACTGAATATTATTATTATTATAAAAGGAAAACTGAAATAAGACACTGATGTAAATATTCACACCATTTGCTGTAATACTTGGAGTTTAGCTCAGGTGCCTTTCTCTTGATCATCTCTGAGATGCTTCTACACTTTTATTGGAGTCTAATCAATAGATTGCACAATCAATAGATTGGGCATGATTTGCATAGACACCTGTCTATGTAGGGTCCTACAGGTGACAATACATATCAGAGCAAAAACTAAGCCATGAGGTCAAAGGAACTCAGAGACAGGACTGTTTCAAGGCATAGAGGTTTAGAAGGTTGAAACATCTACTGCACTGAGCACAGTGGCCCCATAATTCTTAAAAAGAAAGAAAACCTGCTGCTTAGCCAAACTGGGCAATCGGAAAAGAAGGGCCTTGGTAACAGAGGTGACAAAGAACCTGATGGTCACTCTGGCTGAGCTCCAGAGATCCTGTGTGAAGATGCAAGAAAATTCTAGAAGGACAACCATCACGCCAGTACTCTGCCAATCTGGACGTCACGGCAAAGTGGCTGGACGGAAGACACGAAAGACACATGAAGGCTTTGAATGAAATCACATCTGGGGGAAACCAGCCATCGCTCATCACCTGCCCAATACCATCCTAACAGTGAAGCACGGTAGTGACAGTGTCATCCTGCATGATGCTGCCACCATCATGCTCCAATGTTGGGAAGAGGCATAGTGGTGGCAGCATCATGCCATTGTTTTTTTTCAGCTGCAAGGAGTAAAAAAAACAAAAAAAAAACCAACTTAGAATAAAACTTTATTTGATCCCTTAGGTACAAGACCTCAGGGAAATTGCTAAAGGACAGGAACAATGGTCAAGGGTGAGGGAAGACTGAATGGAAGCAAAGTACAGAGATGTCCTTGATGAAGACCTGCTCCAGAGCACTCAGGCCAAAGGTCTGCTTTCCAGCAGGACAATGGCCCTCATCACACAGCCAATACAACACTTGAGTGGATTAGGGACAACTGTACAAGTCCATCATTCACTCAGCCAAAGCCCTGATCTGGACAAGATCAAACATCTTAGATGAGATAGAACTTTATTGATCCCTTTGGTAGGGTACCTCAGGGAAATTGTTGTCTGTGGGGAGACCAGAAAATGGCTGTCCGCCAACAGTCCCTATCCAACCTGACAGTTTGAGAGAATCTGCAGAGAAGAATAGGTGAAATATGACCACCGCTGCTGGTTTGAGCTTTTTTCTTAAGTTTTTTATGAGTAGAGGTGTGGAGGAGGGGAGAGCTCTGTCTTATCTCTTCAGAAACTAATGTTATTATTTTGCGCCACGCACGCTTCATATCCAGGTCAGTTCACACACCTGTGAGAAAAGCACATAGAGGATAAACTTTGCACTCACCTGACAATGTCAGCACAACAATGATAACACCAGCACTGTGGAGGTGTCAACAATAACGCGAGTGTATCTGAACACGGATTTGTTATCATACAGTGAAGGAAAAACGGTCCTGCAACTTCAAATCAGGATTGCAAAGTATATCGCAGCAGACACAGTCATGTGATAGGAATATGCAGGGAAACATATCTGTGGGATAAACAACGTTTGGAAGATCCATCTTAATACAAAGATAGTAGGTACTCCATGTGCGAAAGCTGTCTGTCTCAAAGACAAATGACAGATTCCCTCGCAGAGATATTAATGTTGCATAGTATTGTACCAGGGAGAGCTGAGAGTCTGAGGATGCTCTGGTTGGAGGCTCAGACTCCAGGCTTTTTAAATGTTTTAGTATTTGTGGTATGGGATTTTTCTATATAAGGGTCACACATTTTTTTTTGTTCAGTAAGTGTCAGTTTTAAAGATTATACGTTTATTATGTTCAATAAAAGTGTATTTTCCTAAATGTTGACACATCATGTGTGAGCTAGTGAGATATTTCCCCTTAGACACTTGTGCTGTTTGTATTTAAGCTACAAGAGCTGTGAGACAGACGTAGAAACATTTGTGAGCCATAAATAAACGAGTTAATTATTTTGTCATTGCTGCTGCAACAATTCCACCTCAGACGAGAACCTACATACCTTAGAAGAGTCAGTGCTATAGTAGCTGCCAAAGGATGCTTCGACTAAATACTAAGTACAAATGTTTATATTGATACTGATAGTAGAGTAAAAACCTCTAAAATTCAGTTTGTGCTTTGTCATGATGGGGCATTCAGTGCAGACTGATGAGGGGAAAATGAATTGAAATGACTTCAGCATCAGGCTGCAACATAGGGGTCTGAATACTTTCTGAATGCACTGTACTCATGTTTCTATCATCCTCCTCCCTTCCTGTCCTCTGTCCCCGAGGAAACAGTAATCTGTCTCTTCCTCCCTCTGGTCGGCTTCCCTGCTTCTCGCATAGTCTCGCTTCACTCCTCGATTTCCACCCTCTCCCCTTCTCTTCTGCGTCTTTCTAGGTTTACCACAGCACTAATTGCTTAATGACTGCCATCCGCTGTTACTCTTCCCTCTCTCATGCTCCATCTGTATGGGTTTCTCTCAGTTTGAGAGCAGCAATGTGGATGGAAATATATATGTTATTATAGCATATGTCATGTGGATTATGTTTGTTGGCCAGAAAAAGTTAAACTCTATGATTAAAAACCTGCACAACAACCAACCAACACAGCAAATCTCACGTATGTAATTATTCCAATTATTGCTTAAATGGTAATTGAGGAATGGTGATATGAGATAAACACAGATCTGCCTGATTCAGATCAGCAGGTGATTGATTATTTAATCACATGTTTTGTTAGGAGAAATTAATCAGCGCTGTACATATGAATGGCAGATTTTCACAGCTGGATTTTGTGTGTTTTCTTCATTTTTTGCCGTCTTTGTTTTTACAACTCGGAAAAAGTAGACACACAATGTCTAATCAGACACAATTAAGTTAGACTGCATGGGAAAAAACAGAATTTAGCGGGCTATGCCGACCAACACCGCTAACCTGTATCCTCAGCAAAACCCCACAATATATAAATTTGAGTGTAAAACCATAATTAGATCGTTAAATTTTATTGCACTTTTCAATGGCAGAACTCTGTTTTTAAGAGTTTTTTGTCTTTGGTTTCACAAAAGAGACTTGTTAGAGGGTTTGGGGCAGGATTAACCGTTTAACCAAACTGTTTTCCATCTGTTGTAATGCGTCTTTGGCCATTTTAGGTACAAAACAGTGTGATTCTACGGTGTACCTAACTGGAAAAATGATCAAACTTACGCAGCAGTTATTTTGTAAAAAGACCAAAGCTTCCTGGACGTAAATTCAGTTGTAGGACTTAGTGTGTGGTCCTCCTACGTGTTTTGCTATTGCAGAGGCAGCGGCTAGATAAAATAAACCAGCACCGAATGCCGTTAGATTAGTACGATAAAGAGAATCATCTATAGTGTGAGAAAGAAAAATACTGATATAATCATGTTTTGTTTCATACATGCTGTGTCTTAAGATCCAGTCTGTCCAGCTCTGCAACTTCTTTGGAAGTTTTCTGCCTTGTTAAAGTAGCACTGCTCTGTCTTTACCACCACTGTATGTACCTCTCCGGGAAACACAAACTCAGCTTTATTTTATGTCTTCCCCCTACAGACAGCATGATCAGAGTGGGAGGAGACTACCAGGCTCAGATCCCCGAGTTCAAACCAGGTAAGCCGGGAGGGAGGAGAGCACAAGAGATGACAGTGAGCAGCAAAATTGCAGATGAATAGAGAGAGAGAGGAAATCAGGGCTGAGAAGGAGACATAGAGGTGAGGAGAAATGTGGAGGACCTTGAAATGGAGGAAGGAGGCGAATGCAGATAAGTAGAAGAATGAAGGTCAAATGACTAATGTAACAGTGGAAAACCAGGAAAATGAAGAGAAGCGGAGGCTAGAGGACTATCATCTTTGTCCAGGCACGGAGATGTTTAAAAAATGGGCGACATTCAACACAAGCAAGATCATCCATTTCCATTGCTTTGATGAGAGGTTTACAAAGATGTAATTATAAACTGCAAAGATAAAGTTGTGAATTAGAAAATGTGCTCTTTATGTGTTACATCTGCCTCAGTGAACACAAATGGCCGTCATATTTTCTCCGTTGAATCATAATTAATAGAGTTTGGCTTTTTATGCAATTTCATGACGGATTAAAGAGAACCAAAGTGTGCTCAGTGAAAGACCTCGATACCCTCTATGAGTAATAGATGAAAAATAGCTTGACAGTGGGAAAACAATCGCCATAACCTCCACGGAGACATCAGTTAGATTGCACCGGAGGAGAGGACAAGCACGAAAGCCGGCATCTGTTTTAGCAGGTGCACAAGTGTTGAATCCCCAGAAGAGTTCCCTGACAGACATGTCACCTCGTTTTTCTTGCTAATGAAGAGGGAGCAAAGGATGGTTTCTAGACAGAAGAAAATGTGAAACGGGAAGGGAGCAAGAAACTAATGAGGTTTGTAAGGTGGATGTGAAGATAGAGGTGTTGGAGAGAAGGTTGAAGTTGATATGACAGAGTAGAAAAGGGATTAAAGTGTATATATATATATGTATAGCCTCAAATAATGTATTGATTTAGAAGTGTTTTTTGTTTTCATTACCAGACAGTCCAACCCGCTACAATGAGAAGGACCAGAGGAGCATGCTGGTGTGGTGTCCCAACAGTCAGCTCTCTGATGCCATGTGTAAGCTCCACACACCTACCTTAGCCTGCATTCATTGGTACAAGCTTAACAAGTTGACCTTCAGTTTAATGGCTATATGCTGACTGGGGGATAGCAATTAAAACTCTGCTCTCTCTGTCTCTTCCTGTGCATTCATGTTCTTTCACTCTCCTGCCCTTCTGATCTCTCATCTATTTCCGTTTCTGAATATTGCCTTTCTTCTTTCTTTGTGGTTCTCTTTAATGGTGTTTGATGTTCTCCTTCTTTACCAACTTCTCCCTTTTGTTGATGTTTTCTTCCAGTGGACGAGTACATCCTGATGGCTAAAGAGAAACATGGATACAACATGGAGCAGGTACGATACATTCATGTAGAATACAGATCAAAGTTTTTCTCATCAAACTGCATCAGAAAAAACACATTAAAGTATGTAAATGTCTCCTTTTTTGTCACTGACCTGTCACTGACTCTGTCTCCATCCTCTCCAATCCTCCAGGCTCTTGGCATGTTGTTATGGCACAAACACGATGTGGAGCGCTCACTGGCCGACCTGGCCAACTTCACCCCCTTCCCAGACGAGTGGACAGTCGAGGATAAAGTGTTATTTGAACAGGCCTTCAGCTTCCATGGAAAGAGCTTCCACCGCATCCAGCAGATGGTACAAGACAGAGAAACACATCATTAGTGACTATTAATTACATAAATATGTGCAAGATCAGTTAAAAAGCACCTCATATTTTTTTCTTCTTGTGTGTAGCTTCCAGACAAAATGATCTCCAGCCTGGTGAAGTACTACTACAGCTGGAAGAAGACCAGGACCAGGACCTCCGTCATGGACCGTCAGGCCAGGAGGCTGGTTAACAAGCGAGAGAAAGATGACAGGTTTGAAATGCCATGAAACTTTACTGAACCTCTGCAGAAACTGTGTGCAAAGATTGAGAGGAGTGAGGAGAGGGCTGGGATGAATGGACAGAGGGAAGAGTGAATACTGGAGGAGGAACTGAGCAGGAGGGAACCATCAAGTGCTCAGAAACTACTCATCTGAGATCTGACATTTACAAAACTTCTTTGCTAGATGACACTCGATGAGCATGTCATCCTGGGAAACGAGTCTCATGAATAGAAATGAGCCAGATTGATATTATTTCTTGTCATTTTGATGACATTTTTGAGAATTTCGGACATAACTTTAGATGAAATCATGGTTTTAATTTGGATAATAGGGCAGGGGAGAAGCTTAAGCATGGGGGACTTGTGTTTAATAGCTTTTTTTTGTCTTGCAGTAATGACGAGTTGGAGGAAGGAGACCCAGGCAGTGACAGTGACTTTGAGATTGACGCCAAGAAAGAGGTGAACAAGTGTGTGCATGCTCAGATAAAAACATTTTTGTGTTCTGCTTGTCGTGTCTTGCCTGAAGAGATCAGCCCGGCTAAATCGATATTTCCTGCATCCTTTTTCGAACATCATTTATTATACATAAATGTAATGCTGCCTTCTTGATTCGCTGTTCGGTGAAAATGTATCATTCCGATCCAAGCAGGCAGTGAAACAGAACCCCAGCAGCACCAGCTCCGACAAAGCCACCCCCAGTCGCTCTGGGCCAGTGAAGAAGGAGAGCATCGGGGCTCAGTACAGACACCACCCGCTCAGAGCCCGTCGCAGGCCACCCAAAGGCATGCACCTGGACCAGGGCGACATCATGTCTCTGTCGGCCTCCCATGATTCTGGCGTCCTGACTATACGTCAGCTGGACACGCAGCTGGTTTCACTCAAGAGACAGGTATGTACTTGTAATATGACCTTTAATCCATCTTTGGTCATCGGATGATAGGGTGTGAATGCATTTAAAATATACGGAGGATCTGATGAAGCAACGGTTGCTTTTAAGGAACATCAGCCGGGTTTCTGTTTGTAAATGTGAAAAACAACCTCCTCCAGATCTTCATGATGTTAACATAACGTATCAGTGAGTGGCTGCTTTGTTTCCAGGAGCTAAATCCTCCCTCATTGTCCCCTCTTTTCCCTCCACTCTTCCTCTTAGGTTCAGTCTATTAAACAGAACAACAGCAGTCTGAAGCATAGTCTAACTGAGGGTGTTGATACATTAAAACCTACTGAGGTAAGTCCTCCCTTCACTCCCTTCTTTCCGCATGCTCCCTCATCTGTCGCCTCATTGATTTTTCTCTCCTGACTGTAGTCACTTTTCTCCTTCTCTGATCCCCCTCCAGTTTGTTCTTCTCCTCTTTCATTTATTCACTCTGCCCTTCCTCAACTCCCTCCTGATATTATTTCACCCCTTGTGGGACCAAGATTAGTCTTAATCTGCTCATTGCTCTCATGCTGCCATCTCCATCCCTGTCTCTCCTCTTCTTTCCTACCACCTACCTGTCTCACACTTTAATCTCTCTCTCTCTCCCTCTCTCTCCCCAGCCTGCCCCGAAGATGAACTCTCGTTGGACCACAGAGGAGCAGCTCCTGGCTGTGCAGGGTGAGTAGAGGCTGAAGCGTCACCTCCCTTCCCCTCCTTCAGAGTCACCTCGTGCTGCCAGCTCTCATCCTCCTACCTCACATTCACGGCCAGATGTGTAGTCCACACATTCATATTCATGTTCTACACACACAGGAACTGGCTGTACTGCAGGTGTTAGTTGGATGTAAGAACACACTCCTGAATTATTTCTCCATTGTTGAATACGTCTGTTGTCTGGGCATATTGCAAAGGGTACTTGTCAAATGATGTTTTTTTTTTTTCTTATGGGTGGTCAGAAAATGAACCTGTTTCTAGGAACGTTACACGTGTTTTGAAGGAGAAGAGAGTAAATGTTGCTGCTATTAGACAAAGTTAATGACAAGTCTAAAGAGAGAACAAACAGCTCAATTAAAATTAGGGATAATTTACTATTTGATTCAATGTGGTTTTGTTCTAAAAAGAACTAAATGATATAAATCATCAGCAGATCATCTACTTTGCAGACTAAGTTGCTAAAGAGTTTTGCAGTTACAAAACTATGCAAGATAGTTTTGTAACCGCTAGTGTGAAAAAACTATTTCTGCTGTAGTTTTTGTTTCCATTATCTGATTCATTTGTGTCATTTTCAGGTTTTTCAAACATGGTAGAAAATGCAGAAAACAAAACTGCACAAAAAATGTGTTCCTGAGTTTAGTTCATGTCACTCACTGGTTGGTACGAGAGATTTTAGATCAGGAAAAAAAAGGGCAAAGGATTAGAGTTTGACCTCTTTTGTTTTTCTTTTTTTAAAGAATACGTCTTCTAAATGCTTTACTTGAGATAAAATGCAGCTGAAATGAACAGCCGAAGCTGCTGGGATTCAGATTCCAGCTGTAGATAAACTGACTCGGAGCTTCAGGTGAAGCAAAGTTGCTTCTGCTCCGGCTGTCTCCGTCACACTCCATCAATGAAAGACTCACAGTTTTCTTATAAAGGGTCATTCAGTGGTGTTCATTAGTGGAGGATTCATGGCTGATGTGAGGGTGTCTTATTGTTTGTTGCTATGGATACAGAGCACTGTATTCAGTGACACCCTGTCCTCGGAATTTGCTTGTAGTCCTGACTGAATGTTATCACACTAAATATGAGTCAGACACTGTTGTTGAAATGAGCAAGAAAACATTAATTACCAGCTGATGGGTTATTAAATCTGATTTACACACACTGGACTCTGACGTGTCATTAAAATACAGTGATTTACAGAAGCTAAGAGACCTAACAAGGAGAGTGAATCTGATTCTTGTAGCCAAACAAGACTGTGCTGATTTACTCAGATATTAACGTGACATGAAAACTACAAGAAGTCATATTTTTGACAGGAAAAGTAAAAAACTGAGAGAATGTGTGAACATAATAGTCAAATCCACGTCCTCTTGTCTCGGCTTAATCGTCATTCATGTTGAATTAGACACTAAAACTAATTTGCAGTCGCAGTAACTCTTGGGGGCATGAGAAAGAAGTTTGAGAATCAGTGTGAGAAAAGTTGGGATTTACAGCAGCAGACACTAAAGGCTCCTCAGTTCAAACCCACAAATGGTCGATAAGATCTTCCGGCTGCTGCTGCAGTCTGTGTGCCTTTGAGCAAAGCATGACCTCCATCTACTGCAGCTGCTCAAACGGCAGAAAGGAAAGCTGGAGCACATGAATGTGTGCCATGACGTGAGCGTGACCTGGAAGAGAACAGGTGCAGTCAGCCAGCTGATCTCAGATGGAGGTTAACGGTAAACGTGGATCAAAAGCCGAGCTCGTCATACTTCACCGTTAGTGTCTCTCCTCCACAGTTCTCTGGCAGACAGAAACACAACAGGCTGTTTTTGTTGCCACTAAGTTGTTGTGAATGACACACATGCGCGACATTAACCTGACGTCTCCTCTCCAGCTATCCGCCGTTACGGGAAAGACTTCACAGCCATCGCCGAAGTGATAGGAACTAAGACACCAGCTCAGGTGAGCTTCTCCTCTCTCAGATGTTGAATATTTGTGAAGATCACCTCTTGTGATGTGTTTTTCTGACCTCAGTCTAACCCTCCATCCAGCAGGTTGCTTGTGTGAGCCGTCTATCAGCTTTTCATCTCTTCTCCAATTCCTCCCTCATCCCTCCGTCTAGCATTTTCCCTGAGAGGATAACTATAATCTCCATTATCCCTCCTTTCATTTGTCTTCTGCCCTCTAATGTTCGCCTCCGCGTGTCCTTGAACGCAGCACAACTTTCGGTCATCGTTCATTCCCTCTCTAACCCGCTGTCTCTCCCCGCCCGATCAGGTGAGCTCGTTCTTCGTGAGCTACCGGCGCCGCTTCAACCTGGACGAGGTGCTGAGGGAGTGGGCGGCCGAGCAGGTGGCCACCAGCCGAGACCAGAGAGACCCCAGGAGGAGCAGCGAGGAGATGGCAGCAGCTACAGATGGAGGCGCAGAGGAGGACGAGGTGAAGCCAGGAACACAACACGCAGGACATTAGACAGCTCATTCATAGCCTCTGACTGATGATGATGTCGTACAAAATACTGGAAATTAATCTGTAAATATATACAAAATAGTGTTATTTAAGAAAAAGATGGAGAAGGTTCACAACAAAGTATTGGATGTTTTTATTCTGAAACACTATATTTAATCTTGTATTTAAAACTGGCCATTTCTAAACTCATTTCTAAATGAGTTAAAGACAGTGACAGAAAACCTCACTGATCATCTGGTTGTGTTGGTCAGCAGAATATAGTTCAATTTATATATTTATTAGACCTTAACTACACCTTTTACTCTTAATAAATGATCAAATATATGATAAAAAAATCTAGTAAAGGATAAGTCTGATATCAATTCATTCTCTTAATGAGTTTGATTAAATAAAGGAACAATAGAATAGAAAAACAGAATAAAACTTGCCTCTGAAAACCAGTCTGATCTTGATCTTGGCATCATGATGGAAAGCATCTGTGTTCAGTCGGCATAAGTTGAGACGAAAATTGAATCTTCTAAACAAAAAAGCAGGAAATAAAAGTTGATTAAACTGTGGATTAATACTCATTTGTTGCTTAAGTGAGTATTTAGGGCAGCAGGACTGTAAGAGGTCGACTGATACGTTTCATTGCCAGTAAAATGTAGTTTTAGGAGGCTAAGCGTTGTTTCAGTTAAGGTGCTTTGGTTGCTGTGATCTGAAGTAATGTGTCACCAGTAATGATCAGCTGACTGACTGCTGCTCACCTGGTGAAAGAAATACTCCTGTAAGAATTGCTTTTCAGATTAACATTCTGATAAATCTGGTACAGATAAGAGTACTTGGACAACAGCAGCAGTGTTAACGTCTGCTCTGTTGTTGTTTAGCTGTTGTTTAGCAGTCCTACAGGTAGAATCTAGCAGTTGGTCGTTGTTTATTTGTCCTGCCCTTCCTTCATTGTGACTAGATGTGTGGGTAAAAGTGATGAGGGCGACATTTTACCAAAGCTGAACATTTTTCAGCTCACCAGAGTGTTGAATAGATGCTCGCTGCCACTGCTGGTGTTTGTAGCTCTGTGTATATATACACACTGCTGTCATCGCAAACAATTGAAAAAAATACTGAGACCTCATGAAGAAACGCTTTGATGGATGTGCCACATGACAAACTTCAGTTTGCGTGTTCATGGTAGTGGAGGAACACGTCACCAGTGCAACATGTGTTTTCAATAGCATGTGAAAGTTGGTGGAGGTTTTCTGAGCCTCATTCTCAGCTACTCAAGACGACTTATAGAACAAAGCTGACGGAACAGGAAGAGCTGCTGGTTGTAAGACGAGGTTCTCTCCTGTTGGTGTTTAAAGCTCAGTGAGCTAACATTTGTCTTTTTTAACTTCCCATCTTTGAACTTTAGCTCCTTACTTTAATTTACCCACAACTCCTTTCCAACTATCTCCATCTCCTGTGGTTCTCCTTAGACTAGTGTTATATTTTACACGTCCAAGAGGCCTCGCAGGTCTGTAGGTGGGCACTGATCTACTGCAGGTGTTTGAAACAAATCCTCTGTGAATCGACTGATGTGGTTGTTTCAGACCTGATAGTGACTACTGGCAATCAAAACTGATATTTGGAACCAACATACATAAAATATTATGTATTAACATTTTGTGATAGCAGAGAACCTGTCATTCATAACTAGACTACTGCAATAATAACGATAACTACAACCAAAAATATACAATAAGAATAGGAATGATGATGTCAGAGCATCACGTGATGCTAAAACAATTTCCTCTGTTTACTTTGAGATCAACTGATTGAGATTCAACAGTTACGTCTGCTCTTGTTTCACTGTTCTAGTACTTTTTACTCCCCATTATAACCCACGTCTGTAAGCATTATTTATTATTGTTTTCCAGGCTTTGGGCCAGGGTAGTCTGTGGCTGCCTCCTAACTTAGCTGTTAGCCTAGCTTAGTGGCTGTAAAAGCAACACATGTCCTGATTTGTAAAGCTGATCTTACTTCAGGAAGACGCTACAGCGCTCCAGATAGCGTTAGCTGTAACGTCTTCCTGAAGTAAGCTGAGACACAACAAGCCTCTTAGTGATAGCATTAGCCTAGCATCGTCAGCAAATTCAGTTCCAGTGGCCATGTTGGTATCAGGTTGTGGTGTTTATTACAACTTGAGCTACATCTGTGACCTCACCTTGTCTGTGAACAGTAGCTTTCAGAGTTGATTGGCTATTACTCCTGATGTGTAGCCAATCAGATCGAGCTGTGGGCAGGACTTCGCTGAGACCACAGAGTAACGAGAGAGCCAGCTGAATTAATTTTATCTGTAATCGTTTGATAAAAACAATTTGATAGCACGAAAGATCGATCATTAGCATCCTCCAACTAGAGACTGCTATAAGAGCAACACCTGCTGCCTGTGGTTGAATCAGACTCTCACCCTCCTTCGTCTGTCTCCTCAGGTCAAAATGGAGGACTCTCCCACGGACACCCCCGGCGGCTCCTCTCCTCCCTCCTCCACCCAGACCCCCTCCTCCCTCTCCCAGCCTCCCCCGCTGCTGCGCCCGGCTCCCCCCTCCGCCCCGCCGAGCCTCCTCCGCCAGCCGCCTCCCCTCCAGACTCGCCCGCTCCAGAACCGAGCGCCCCACAACCACCCCCCGCCGCCGCTCATCCGGCCCGCCGTCACCTCCTCCTCCACCTCCACCGGGAGCTCCAGTCTCAGGGGTTCTCCACCCAGCTCCTCCTCCTCCTCCTCCTCCTCCTCTTCCTCCTCCGCTGCAGTGCAGATGCCTCCATCACTGGTCGGGCTCAAAGTGGAGCAGCCCAACTCGCACTGATACACACAGATATGACAGTAGGGATAGAAACACACACACACACACACACACACGTTAGCATGCAAACACACAGACACGAATCTTTGTCGTCTCAGAGAAACTCCTTCACCTTGTAACTCCATCATCACTCCAAGCCTTCATTCCTGGGACCATCGCTCACCACACCATCGACTGCTCAGGTCCCAACGGTGACGCCGCCGCCGCCGCTCTGAGAAATGTGTCAGGAAGAGTGTGAGGACCCCCTGGGTGACCTGAAGCCCCTTTACTGTACTAACAAACACCTACCTCCAGTACACAGCTCTCTAACGCACACACACACACACACGCACACAAACAGCTCCAATCTACCTGCACACACTTCACTGAACAAAGAGACACTGGATCATCAAGCTGTTGAAGAAAGCCATGACCACCCAGAGCAGACCCACCTGCTCGTCTCCATGGCAACTGCTGCACATCTGGATTGCAGAGGAATGCGGTTGAACACACACATACACACACACACTCACACTCTCTATATATAAATATCTATAGGGTAGGTTCCACTGGGCAGATATCAAGTCATCCAAACAACCTTCAGGAAACAGAAATAAAAGAGAAACGACGAGGACGAGTCGCCCACATCTGAGCCAAACCTGCTCCTCCCGCCGTGGAAAGCATGTGAAGAAATGTCTCCTTTGCAGCTTTGCTTTAAAACTTGGAGCCTCAAATAGGAGCAAAAAGCTCCACGAGTTTATTGTTCTGGTTTTTTAATGGTTGTCGACGAATCTGTTGGTTCCTAATCGGGCAAAAAATGGAAACGGAAGAGCGGGAGGCCCCAGAGCTCCGTCTTCTCACATAGCCATGTATTACTAGTGTTAACTGGAGTGATGTTTCCCTTTGTTTGACTAGACTTTTAAAGGTGAGCCCTAGGTAGGCACGTAGTGACTGTACGTAGTTTAGGTCGTGCATACTTTATTATGATGATTATTGACTGAGCACTGAGGAGAAAAAGAGCCTTTAACACATGATTCGGTGGCCTGCTACAGTGTTTAACGTCCCACTGCTTTAAGAGGAACATTTCAGCGGTCGCCCCTCCGACACCGGCCGCTCTGAGGAGCAACTGAGAACGGTAGCCTCGGTGTTTAAACTCGATCTACTCTGACCTCCGACAGATTTGTGTCCACTGGAAAAAAAGAAAATGTTCTGCCAAAGTCTGTTATTGCTTTAAAAGCACACTGTCCCAGAGTTCCACTGTCTCCAGTTGAGAACAGTGTTTGACATTGTTGGCTGTCTGTGTTCAAAACTAAAGAAAACTGAAGGACAGTTTGGGAGATAGTCGGGAAATCGTTTTTGTAGGACGTCCAAACCAGCTGTTTGGTTGTTGTTCAGTTACCAGGATGTTCGAATGATTAAAAATATGAATTTACAAAGACAACTCTGAGGTCAAAGGAGATCAGGAGGAAGCTTCTGCTGTAGCGTCAGCCGCTCGATTAATTTAGCAAATGAAGCATCTGGAAATGCGTGTTTTTTTTTTGTTGTTGTTGTCCTGCCACTGTGCAGTTTTCTGCTTCCTCGCTGGTGTTTTGGGCTCAACGCATCCCGAGGCGACGAATTCACAACTTCACAAACAAATGACTGAAACCGTATTTGTCTGTGACACCTTCAACACTTAGTTCTGGTTTCTTTTGGACCGAATCTGTCCTCGTCTCCACAGTCCAGCTGCCTGTATCACTGCCTTTTTCACAGACGTGGGGTCACATGTCTGGTTTCTGTAACCTGTTCAGTCTGCAGAGGCCTCCAGCGTCCAGCTGAAGGCAGCACTGAGTGGACTCGCTCCATCACTGCGTTTGGCTTTAAAGTGACTTTGCTCGGACTTGTTTTCTTACATTTGTTCCTTCCTCCAAAAACTGCTTGTGTGTAACGTATGTGAGAAGTTGTTTACATTGTGGAAACTGAACTGTTTGTGTTTGAGAAATGTTTTTTTTTTTTTTTAGAATAAAGAAATGACCAAATAGTTGAGCGTTTGTCATCAGTTCACCCACAAACACTTTCTTTAATGTGATCCACAAGCGACCAGGATTTAATTCCCAGAAAGTCTTTCAGCTCTAAACTCTGTTCAATGAAGCTAATTAACACCAAACAGAGAACTGTTGTGTGTGGACCTGATCTGCTCCCAAATGTCAGCTCCTTTCAAAACACCATCTGTTGAGTCCCGACAGGTTGAGCCACCTGCAGCTCCCACATTCCTGAGCAGGGACACGAGCGCGTCGCTGGGCGTCACCCGAGCACCCACGGGTGAATCTTTCTGCAGCAACAAGCCGACAAAACTGAACACAATGTGTAGAAATCAAAATAGCCTGGGCTCCTCAATCGAGCTGAAAACATTCCAGATTTAGTCGTGTGGCGTCGAGCAGTTTGGGACGGTTTCATGTAATAATCTTTGCAAATTCTGCTGCAGGAAAAAGGGAACAACTGCAACACTGACAGTCGTCTCCTGCAGGCAGGAGGAGGAGGAGGAGGAGGAGGAGGTTCAGCAGAGCGTGCTGCAGGTACCTGTGACACATCTGCAGAATACTTATTTCACACCTGAAAGTCACCAAACAGTTCAAATTTGAAAGGACTTTATCTGCACTGTTTGTGTCCTTCCTAGAATAAGCTTCAAAAGGCTCCTTTTAATGCTAAATCTGAAACCTAGATATAATTTATAAAACCTTTAAGTCTCTTAGAAGACTTTGTTGTACATCAGACAAAAGCAGCTTGACAGCAACACAAATCCAGCTGTATGTCACTAACGTTGGCTATTTTAAAGGTTAAAAATCTAATCTCACAATTACTTTCCCATCAACACTTTAGATACAGATTCCTATACTGGGGCTGCTGCTGGTTGAGCTGGCGACCCGTGTACCGGAGCTATAGTCCCCAATGCAGTGGTCGTGGGTTCAAATCCAGCCCATGGCCATTTGCTGCAGGTCCTTCCCCCATTCTTCTCCCCACTTCTCTCTCTCTCTACTGTCCTGTCAAATAAAGGCCAAAAGGCCAAAAAAAAGATTCCTATATTTCGCTTTTTGTTCTTTGATCATGACACACACTGAGCCAGACGTCTGTTCAGCTGTAGAAGTAGACAAACTGTACTGTAGTTTCTTTTGACCTTCACACAGACAGCAGGTTTCCTGATTAAACCCCTAAAATCACATCTCTGTGGATCAAAGTTACATATTTAGATATTTTTTCCCCATGAAAATAATCAATATACACCTTACATGTCTTAGATCAGGGGTGTCCAGTCCTGGTCCTCGAGGGCATCAGTCCTACTTGTTTTAGATGTTTCCCTCTTCCATCACACCTGATTCAAATGATCAGGATCGTTATCAAGCTCTGCAGAAGCCTGATAACGATCCTGATCATTTGAATCAGGTGTGTTGGAAGAAGGGAAACATCTAAAACATGCAGGATTGTGGCCCTTGAGGACAGACTGGGCCCCCCTGTCTTAGATATAACCTGCTTCCTTCAGAATGTGGGAATACATTAAGCCCAGAGCTTTGTTCTCCACCATAGAACGCTGCTGAAACACAGTAAAACTCCTACAAAAAGATGTAATATTGAAATAATTCATAGTACAGAAAGTCCCACCTCTCAAGTTGACAGGATTTTCAAACATATAAAAAACACCAGATAGACATATTAACAAGGTAAAAAACAAGGTTTCCAACTCCTGCACATTGTCTGTCCTGCAAAATTACATGTATTCACAACATTTCAGTGTAAATCTATACTATAGGAAGGCTTGAATCTCAACATCCAATAAAACACAAAACGTGAGAAAACACTCATTTATGTACCCACAATCATTCCCATTAGTTGTGTCATTACATTGATGCTTTGTGGATTTGTGCAGGAAGAGATGCTCACTGTGTTGATATATCGTACTGGGGAGGGTCTTGAGTTCATATTTATGGCGACTTTCCCTATATGCTGATAAACATTAGCTGCTTCTGGAGGATCTATTGATAAGGACATTTAATTTTCTCATTGATGATTATGTATTAAGTATTAAATTGTGTGTGCCAATTAAAGTTTTCTGTATTTTTTTTCACTTATGTATGACCTCCTGAAAGATTTCGTAGATAGATTTCAACTTTGATGATGCAGTTTGGCCCTCTGGGGATTTGAAGTATTCACAATTTTTACCTGTTTGATTGAAACGATTTGGGTTTTTTTCACTCGGTAGAATCACGTTTCGCAATTCATGCCTTCCTATAGTATGTTGAGAGTTTCTCTGCCTGATAAAGGAACTGAAACACTGCAAATAAATGTGTTTTTTGCAAGTTAATCCGTGTGCAGGAGTCTTCTGGAAACACTCGTCCCTTTCCTACGTCTCATGAAATCGACAGTTCCCCTGTTGATATCTTTAAAAGACGAGAGCTTCACCTGTTAAAAATGTCATCTGCAACCAGAGAAAAGTGAAGTGAGCAGCAAGAAGGTGGTGACGTGATACAAACAGGACAGAAACAAGAGCGTTCGTCTAAACATGCTGACCTGTGGGCACAAAGTGGAGTAAACCTGAAGGATTTATGCTCCTCCATCAGCGACCCCCTGATTTTCTGTTAAATCAGCCTCAAATCTGAACCCAGCACGGACGAGAAATCATTAACGTCCTCCGAGAAAATGAAATCCGAACATTTCCACGACAACTACATCAGCTGATGAAGACGGAGCGATTCATTTGCGCCGAGACGCTTAACTGCTGCAGATCTGTCTTGCTTTTTCCCCCGTAATGGATTTCCAGAGTCAGACTATCATTATATCATTGTTTTTATTACTATCATTGTAATTTTTCATCATTTTGTCTTTGCACAAAAAAAACAAACAAATAATACATTTTTCAGGAGTTGATCACCCCTCCCAACCCCAAAAACCCACCACTACAGTTACAGTTTGCTCAAAACACATTTAAAATCAATGTAAATTACAGCAATGTAAAACGAAATAATGTAAAATAAAATCAACCCTGAAAGAGATAATATAACAGCAACAGCCAGAATAATAATTAGAATCCAATACCCAGCACCTTAATACAATGATCAACTTTTTAAAAGAAAATTCTGACGTATTAAAAACTGAGAAAAAAAAAAATAAAAAAAAAAAAATAAAACGACAGTGTGTCATCGTGATAGAAAGGAAGAAAAAAAAAAAAGTGTTAAGTTAGGTACAACCAGCTGACGGGACCCAGCCTTTTGTTTCCTCCCACCCCTCGTTTGTGTGTTTTTCTTCTGCAAATCGACAAATCTGGAGCATCGAGAGAAAGAGAAAAGGAAGCGACTTCTTGTTGTGGTTTCATGTGCTCTGATGTGAGAACATGTTTGGACAAAAGAAGCTGCTTCTTCTTTTTTCTCTCTCTCCGCTTCAAGCCATTCTGGACCGACAAGGCCTTTAAAAAGTAGGTAAAAACAACCAAAAAAAAATTAAAATAAAAAGACAGACGGGAGGAGAAGGAGGAGGAGGAGGGAAATAAAAACGGGCAAAAAATGAACGAGCAGTAGTCGTCACCACCACCACCATCAATATCATTAAATACATCGAGTCCTCCTGTGCTCGGAGGGGAAGGGGGGTGTTTTCATCTGACGTGGAAGTTACATGTGTGAAAAAAAAAAAAGGTGCACGACACCGAAAAGGCAGCAATGATATGAGCTGATGTGACCCTTCACACCCCCCTCCGGCTCCACTCTCCGGTAAATCTGTACAAACCCCCGAAAAATGCTCCAACGACACAAAAATATATTATCAAATCAAAAGTAGAAGAAGAAAAATAATTCACCGTTCGTCCATTTTTCCTTTCCTTGTGTGTGTGTGTGTGTTGTTTTTCCAGTGATCTTCTATAATACACTCACATGACTTGTTTGTTACCAACGACACCTTTTTTTGTTTTTGCTCTTTGGGGTGAGAAATGCGTCGGTTCCGGGGTTGACATTCTGGATATGAAGGCGCGATGTCAACCGAGTGATACCAACAGGAAAAGAAAAGAATCGGAGCATTTATGTGCTGACGCCAACCCTCGAGTTGAATTCTTCAAAGAAAAGGCAACAAAAAAATGAAAAGTCCATCCTCGCCTCCCCCTCCCCAGGTTCAAATACGCCCCTCTTGCTTTTTTTTTTCTTTTTTTTTCCAGTGCACAACTCTTTAAAAGCCATAAAAGAAGAAGAAACTAAAAAACACTTAAAAGCCCGCAGGATCGAAATCTAACTGGCCTCCTCGGACTTGATGGTGTGAGAGAAATTAAAAAAAAAAAAAAGAGGGAGGAGGAAAAAAGGAGTGAAAAGCTGGATGTGTTTGTGCTGAGTTCAGTCTGAAGTTGGGGGAAGAGAGAGAGGAGAGGTGAGGGCAGGAGGGAGGACGGGGGAGGTGGATGTTTGAATGTTCGGTGAAGGTGGAGAAAGTCCTTTAACTGACAACAGCAGAGTTTGTCCGTCCACAATCCGTCTGTCGTTGTGTTAATGTGTGTGTGTGTGTGTGTGTGTGACGTTGGGCTTCAGCGACTAAAGTCCTGGCTCAGCTGGAGTCCGTTCACTTTTACAGAATCAGAACAAATTCCAATCAGAACTCCTTCTCCAGCGACATAAGGCTCCATGTTCCAACCTGAACTTTCTGTCAATCACTCACAGAGAGTTGGCTTTTTCCAGCATTCCTCTGCTCGCTCCATCCAACCTCCACCCGGCTGCTCCCCCCCGCCCACCAAAAACAACTGACTAAAAATAAAGAGCTGGCAGCAGGACCGTGCAGAGAAACTGAATAAATAGCAGGAAGAAATGACAGGAGTGGTCAAAGTGATCAAAGTGTGACTCCTAAAAAACAGAGAGAGAAGATCGGACATGCAGAAGAGTGGAACGTCTAAGTAGAACGTGACAGAAAAAAACCCCGGCGGGGCAGAGAGAAGACCTCGGTCTGAAAGTACTTCTTCACAACTCAGAGGAAATCAGCTGAGAGTCTCTAAGCGCAGGGCCGCCAACGTGTGGAACAAAACTTCTAGAAAAGAAACGTTTTCTAGTCTCAGAGAACCGGTAGCCCTACTTCAGACCTGTGTCTACATAACAATCATGTTATTTTAAAGTGATCCCACCCTTTAGCTTACCTCCTGACCTCCACCTACAGCATCATCCTCGCTCCCCCCCCCCCAGCTCTTCTCGCTGCTCCTCCGCACTCACAGTTTGAGCTCGTTGGCGATCTTTGAGGCAATGTTCTTGAAGGCGATGGACGTGCCCGTGATCCGCTTGAAGCGCACGCCGTTGAGGGAGAGCCGCGGCAGCTTGCACACCTCCATCTCCCACTGGACGAAGTCGTCGCGCGCCGGGTTGCCCGACACGCACAGCAGCATGTAGCGCTCGCGCAGCTCGTACTCGCAGCTGTTGGAGTCGAGCACCTTGCGGATCTCGCGCATCATCTCCATGGGCTCCATGGACGACGTGGTCTTCATGGACCAGGTGAAGCGCAGCGAGCGCGGCTTGGCCGAGTCCTTCTGGCTGGCGATGGCCGGAGGAGTGCCGGTGCCACCTGGAGGGGAGGAGGAGCAGAGGGGAGAGGTGAAGGAGGAGTCTGGCAGAGGTGAGAGGGAGGAGGAGATGAAAGGAGGACTTCAAGACAGACTGAGCTACAACAAGAGGCAATGAAGGCGAGAACAGAAGTCAGAATGAACCAAGAAAAGACACAATGAACTAATAAAGCCACCAAATGTGTTTTATTTCTCTGACCTGTGGAACAAGATGCATTTGGGTTAGAAAAGTGCTCCACGAATACAGATTGTTACTGAATTATGAGAGAGAATAAAACATGAGGTTGAACAGAAATGTACTCTCCAATATCAAAACCCATAAAGACCACATGAAGTGATGACTGTAATCTGAGCAGCACCGTCGCTGAATTAACTGAAAACTTTAAAAGTCCTCCAGTGACATATTGAGGACATCTCAGGACACTGAGGCTGCACCTAATGACTGTTTCCATAATCCATGAGCCTGTTGCTTAAAATTTTAAAAAGAGTGAACCAGATTTAGTTTTATTCTTCCATAAAGTTCAGGAGCTGCTCAGAGTCGAGAACAATGGAGGCAGCACAGACGGAGATTCTAACTTCCTGAGCTCAGCGTGTTTGGTTTCAGTCATCTAGTCATAATTTAGTCCATAGAACAGTGAAAACTACCCTGAGGACAGAATGATGCGTCTAAAACTGAGGGTTCTTCCACCAATCAGTCACTCGCTTCATGCTGTTCTGCTGACATGACACCAGAGGCTGAACCCGACACCTGCATAAATGTGTTCATCAACCACCTTAGATCAGACGTAGGTTTGTGCTCATACTGGTCTTATAAAAAACATCTGGATGGTCCTGATTCAGCAAGTTGTTACAGAATATTTGCTCAACGACGCCAACAAATACTGCCTACCCCAGCTTTATCCCTATAAAGTCATTACTGTGCAGACTGGTTAAATAGTTTTAAAACAGAGCTCCTAATTAAAGACCCTCCAGCCGTCTTTAGAACTTTAAAGCTCTGCTGTGTTTTTATGGTATTCAAATTAATAAATGTTTCTATGGTTGGATATACTTTATGATTTCAAAGCGTGGAGAAGTTTGTTAACGTCATATAAAGACGGTTTAGAAAGAAGATTCACTGTCTGTATTTAAAAGGCGTAACAACATATTGAAAGCATAAAACCCTCCTGGAAGTGGACCTACCAGTGTTACCAGATCCTGGTGAGGAGTTGTTCTCATCGTTGTTGGAAGAGGAGGAGAGAACGCCGCCGGACGTCTTCTCCGACTTGTCCACCGTACTGCTCAGCACAGACCTGAGTGAAGCGATGGGATGGTGGAGGAGGACAAGAGGGAGGAAGGAAAGGACGGATAGAAGGAAAGATGAGAGGAGGAGAAGATGGGGATGAGACAAGACGTGGAGAAGGAAGGGTGGAAGACGACAGGAGAGGAGGGAGGAAGAGATGAGCACAGAGAGAAAACGAGTAAAAGTGAGGATCGAGAGAATTATTTCAAAAAGTAGAAACAAAAAAGGGGAGGAGGAATGAAGAGGAAGAGGGAGATGATGAGGTTGTGGATATGAATGAAGACAAAAAGCAAAAAAAATAAAATAATTTTTTAAGCACCCCTATGTGTGTTTGTGTGTGCACATGTCTCCGATCAATTGAATTCATCCCGTTTGTGGCTTCGAGGGTGTTTCATGTGTTCCTGCACACAAAGACACATTTGGGTACTTGGATTGGATTCCCCTTCACACACACACATACCATCATGCAGGTCAACCTCCACACCGGCACTCTCAGTCTCTAGGATGCTACCATTCACTGCTAATCTCCCGTCCCCTGATTGGTCAAACCGCCGTCACCATCACCAATTAAACATCCCGGCTCGGGGGTCCCCCTCATCCCAACCATTCACAACAAGCTCAGATCAACTAGAGGTCGGTTCCAGGCTACTGATTGGCAGGCGGTTTCGGTAGAGTCTGGGGGGGTTTGGGGGTTTGTGGAGGGTTTTTTCGGCTGTTCTGTGTCTCACCTGCTCCCCTCATCCCGACCCTCTCCCTCATACGGACTCCTCGAGAAAAATCAACACAAGTTTAGTTTTTTTTTGAGGGCCACGGGCAACATGTGGGCTCTTAAGACAGAAAGTAAAAACCAGCTGGTCGGACAGAGTCGCGCTGTCTCGCCATGCCCGCCTGAATCTGCCAACTCCAGCCTTGATGCCAAATATACAGCTCCACTCCAACTGCTTGAATTTACGTGTAGGGCCACTTGAGGACTACAGAGCCCACAATGCATTGCTGTGGCAGCTGCTCCACATAACACCGGTTCACTCATCATTGCTTTATAATGGGGTGAAAAGATGGATGAAGGAGGCTCTGAATTCATTTAACATTACTTACAAAATAAACATATGACATTCACTAGCTGACACTGGTTACAGGTTAACAGGTATAAATCATTCTTAACAACTCGTCTTAGCATTAAGAGAAAGGTTCTTTGGGGAAACTCATTTTAATTCAGCAATCTGTGTAATTCCACTAAAAGATAGTCCTGCAACAAATGATTATTTTTATTGTTTCAATTAAAGGATTGTTGTTTGGTTTATAAACTGTAAGAAAATGGGAAAAAAATGTCGATTAGTGCTTCCTAAAGCTCAAGAAGACGCCCCAAGATGTCTCGCTTCGTCCATGACCCAAATATATTTAGATTACTGTCAAAAAGAGGTAAAGAAAACAGAAAATATTCAACTTTAAGAAGCTGGAATCAGAAAACTTAAGCTGATGATAGCTGGCGAATAATTAAAAAGCTGATAACTAAACTATGAACTGTTACAGCTGTACTTAGTTAAGATGAGCCGGAACTTGATAATAGCAGCTCCAGGATGGGTTAGAAACACGGAATGGGTGGAACAAAATGGCAGCAAAGAAACTGAATGGCCTGAATTTAAATGGAGCTGGTTTACGAAATGAGCAGGTCGAAAACTAGGCGTCTCCGAACGGTCCATTGTGGAGCAGAATGACGGTGACTCCAACAGAATGGAATCCAACATCAGGAAAAAGAAGCGTAAATGGTTTGGACCAAGGATGGAGTGGCTTGGAGCAGAACAGTCAGGCATGGTGAGGGCGAGTCCTGTGGCTGAAGGAGGTTAGGAGCATTAATGATCCCAGCGCTGCGTTAAAACCTGTATTAGTAACACTGGACCTACACACTCAGAACACACACTCTCTGTGGACGACACACTTAACCCTGCGGCCTGTATGACACGCTAACATTCGCTCTCACACACCAGCAGACGATACTGAAAAAAAAACGCACAAAAGAAACTGAAGCGAGACAAGCAGACGACAGAGAGAAACAGGAGACGAACATGCAGACGATGGCAGGAGAGTGACACGACAGATTCAACACTTGATGGTCTGAAATTCATTCTGTTGTGGGCAAAGACATCATTCCTGTTTGTCTTATTTTGGAGAAAAAAATAATAAAAAATAAAATCAGGATAATATACCTCCTGTAACAGAAGCGTGGTTAAAATTATAGCACAGGGGACATGACAAGTGGGGGAGGGGAGGAAAAAAAAGTCACATTAAATAATAAAATATAGTGGTAAAATGGTGGACGATGTGAAATCATTTGTGCCATTTTACATGCCCTGTTTTTTTAAAAATAATTTGGCTTTACATGAAGGGATGCAAAATGACTCCAGGAAGAGGGACACTGTGACATCAAGGGGAAACAAAGGATTGATAAGATGGTTATTTGATTCCTCTTGCTATTGAGCACTTTCAGTCCTTCATATACAACACACTAGACTCTAATCATGCGAGTGTAAGAACACACTTGCTCCTTATATAGAATTTCGGCAACTTATTTTTCAAACTGAATGATTGATGAGACTTATCACGAAGCCTAAAGGTGCAACTTCCTTTATAAGTAAAGTAGTTCCATCATATGATAACAAAGTAGTAATACAACTTCTAACCACCAGGTGGAGCAATGGTCCACATGAAGCAGGAAAATTGCTCGACCTGCTGGTTAAAATCAACCAATACACTTCACAGCCAGTGTATGAGACATAGGAAATGTGTGTTTGTGTTCATATCTGAATGTACAATGTGTCAGCATGTGTTCAGCATTTTGAAACGGTGTAATTATGTGGATGGAGAGTGATGGATGTGTGTTTGGGTGTGTCTTAGCAGCTGCATATGTAAATGTATACGTGTGTGTGTGTATGTGAAGTGTGTTCTGTGAGTGTGTGTGTGTGGTCACAGAATAAAAGGTCTTTTCCAGCCAGAGTAGGTCAAAGCCATCCAGTTCTGTTTGCCGCTGCTGTTAGAGAGCCAGTGCCAGAGTGAGAACAGAGCAATGAATGAAAAAAGAAGAGTGCAGCCTCCAGGAGGAAAAAAAACAAAAACAAAAATAAAAGAGTGCAGCCTGAGAAATACTGCAGCCCCGTCCCTCCTGGGTCCTTCTCCTCCTCACTGCCTCCGTCCACAACTACAATCGGCTACAACAAGGGACTTCTTCTGACAAAGTGCCTCCCCACTGGGATCTACGGACAACACAGCTTCTAAGGACTGAGGGGAAACTCCAATTATAGCGGCCGAGCTGACGAGAGCAGAAAGGTGAGATGGGTAATGGTTGATGGCGTTAGCTTGGGTAATTGTTAGCAGCAAACCTGGGAAGAGGTACTTCTATTGTTTTGTTTATTTCTCAAATACTTTGAAAAAATTCGATTTCTTATTGTGTGACCTCCATCTAAAGCTAAAAAGGGGGGAAAGGGTTAAGCGTGGGAAGATGATAGATTAGCCATTAAGGCATGACCCAAATTCTGGGATGCTACGGGGGATCACAAACACTCTACCTGGAAAATAAATGGAGGGAATATAAAAAAAAAAAAAAACAGGGTGGGTGGGTGAGGATGAGGAGGGACGATGGAGGGACGAAGAGGAAGAAGGGTGAGGTGTTATTGTTGTGCGTGGTGATGGGAGTGAGTGAGTTAAGTGAGTGGGTGACCGGGTGAGGAGGAAGGGGGAGTAAATTAGTAAAATAAATGAATAAAAATGGGCCAAAACACGGCAGTCAAAATCAGAAGGCTAAAAAAAAAAACAAATAAAAATAAGGAGGGCCAAACCACAAGGGGAAAAAAAAGGAGGAGAAAAGATAAGGCTCAAGGCACAAAGGGAAGATCTCAACAAAAAAAGCTGCACGAAACACCAAAAGGGGAGGAAGTATATATATGTAAAATATATATAAAGAAGATACGTGGATATATATATATATAAATCAAGGGGTTATATTTAACGTTGGGTATGTTGCCTACCTTCTCGGAAACCTGAACGACAGATTTCTACAAAAACAAAAGAGGGATAAAGAAAGAAAGAAAGAGAAAAAAAAACGTATGTATAAAACGTATGTATAAATGACTTTCCTGTAAAAGACAACCTGCCCTCTGAGAAACTTTAAAGCAGAAAAAAAAAACAAAAAAAAAAGAAGTCCAGACTCACATGGGATTGAAGCAGCAAGCACAACATTAAAACAACCAAAAATAAAACAAACAACAAAACGAGAACATCAGCGTCACTGCTGTTATAAATGTGTTCAAATGTAGGAATTACTGGCGTGAATGTACAACCACAACACCTTAAAGAGGGATTTTCTTAAAGGGCTTTGTGGGAAAAATTAACAGTCTGAACCCTCCCCCCCCTACATGAAATGAAGCCCTCCTCCACACACAGAGCAGTCCTGGGTGATCCTGGAAAGAAGTGTCGGTGAGGTGAAAAGTTCAAACGTGATAAAATTGAAAGAAAAAAAAAAGTAGAGAGAGAGAAAAACACACCTCCTATAAACACACAAAGACACACATCAAATGAAAAAAAAAAAGCACAAGTTAAGCAACAACTTAATCTTCAACACACATTGAGAAACTTAACCTCCTTCACACACACATGCAAACACAGCGTTGTGTTTGAAGGACAGACAAAACATCACTCTCCAGACCGGGCAGGAAAGTGCAGTGGTGAGGATATGTGATATGTTAATACAGCCTGCAACTTTTGTGTGTGTCTGTGTGACTGTGTGTGTCTGTGTGTGTTTGTGTGTGTGTGGTCAAACTGTACAAATGCAACACAATCTCTCTGTTTCCACCACTTCTGCTTCCGACCAAGTTGTGTGTGTGTGTGTGTGCATGTGTGTCAAGGTGTCCCCACTAGCGGTATTTATAGTTGAGGGAAAAGTGATATCTCCGGTGTAACCATGGATACTGTCGCCACGGAGCTACAGTATCTCTGAGTGGGAGGCCTGGAGAGTGGCTGTGCCTGTACCTCCGCCTCCTCCCCACACACACACACACACACACACACTCTCACACACACACGAACTCTACACCATGCATGTAGGCAAGACACTTGATCATTCTCAATTTCTGTCTTTTTTAAGCCGACAAAAATCACTAAAAATACGACCATACATTCATTCTCTCCTCTTACTCCTCCCCTGGCACACATTTCGACATTCATGATGAACCTCAGGGGTCGGTCGGTGGAACAAGAGCAAAAAAAAAAAATCTCAACCTTACCTGCTCACTTGGACCTTTCTGTTTTAGTCTGGTTCATTCTCGCCCCCCATAAACCCTCACATCTTCCATTCTGATGATAATAATAATAATCAACCTTGTCGCTCTTCTCTTTTACTCTTGTTGTGGCTCAGCTACATTAACTCACTTTTTTGTGTCGAACGATTTCACTTTATTTGGCCTCGTTACAAGACAATCACCATTTTCATAAGTATCTGGAGCTAATTATGCTTCAGCGGTAGCACGATGCAATTTAAAGAATACGGGCCTATGTTTTTGTGACTGTCAACAAATCTCATAACAAGACCAAAACCAGCAATAACTCCGTCCTAACATGCGCCATCTGATTCCTCCGTGCCATAGAGCCACACAGTTGTCTAAAAACTACACAAACATGCATCGCTGAGACACAATTCCTTCACTGTGATGAACACAGACGCTGTAGATTTTTTTTCTGCAAGTGGTTACGAAAGCAGCAAATGCGCATTAATCCCCCAGCTATCCCTAAAAATACAATGTTTACTCCTCTCTCAGTACTGTTTGCTAAAAAACTAGAGCACCCAGCTGTTTCTCTTCATCTCTTTTGAAAAATCAAATTATATATTTGTGGCCTATTTTTGAAGATTTGCACTTTCAGTGGGCACAAACGTGGCCGAGTGCCACAGACAGAGCAGGGAAGTCGTAAAGAAAACGAGGCTAACACGCCGGGTTTTAATGGAAAGATGCTCCTATATCATTACATATATAGCCATCTTTAATTAGTTATTCTCCTGCCAAGGTAGAGCCAAATGTAATGAAATCTGGTGGGGAGGTAGAGCATGGCTACAGGAAAAATCTATTAAATTATGGTGCAGATCTGGATTAGTTTCTTTAAAATTGCTAGATAGGGCAGAACACTGAGCTCCCTTCTAGTTTTTCCACTATTTTTATTTAACTTCACCGTAAATCTTGCTGTGCACTTGGCATAAGATCTTATCTATATTGAATTCAACTGAAACTGACGCCATTATTTATTTGTCAAAAGCTAAACTTAATTAGCAGAAATGCAATCCAGTACCCGTATTTACACAACAGTTAGATTAAAGCTAGAAACCTGACTTTCCTTCCAAATTAAAAATACACAAATCAACAACTTTGCAACCAGGTACCCATGAGAGCAGTTTAACTGCTGCAACCTGCACTACGAGTCTGAGATGAAAACCAGGCCAGACGTGGAACCACAACCAAAATTACTCCTCAGTCACCGCTGCTCCCAACAAAATTACAGAGAAGACACAGCTGTTGCCTTCCTCTCCCTTTCTACTCTCAGCCGAGTTTCAGATCAGCACGAGTTTAGTGATAGATGAGACCGGCCGTTTTTAGAAATACTCTGAAAAACCAGTGATGACATGGGCATACAGTACAATGTTCCTGAGAGGAAATGAGCACATAAAATGACTTGTAACGTAAACCTAGTCATTTTCTGGTTCAAGCTGAAACCTCAATACAGCTTTAAACTGCACTGGTAGCAGGATAATAAATAGACTAGCTGCTATCACAACTGCTTTGCATTTACAAAGATTCAGACCTTCTTCCTCTGCCACATATCCTCTCTTGTCTGTCCTGTTTTGCTACGTTATTCTTCTGCTCTCCAACGTCGCAGCTACAATCTATAACCTTAACTATTCACCCTTTACATTTTCACATGCACTGTTCCGCTACTCACTTGCGTACAAACTTGGATGTGAACTTGCTGAAAATCCCTGTGGCGCCGTGTGTCCTCCGGGCCTGGCTGTTGCCATGTGACAGTGATGGGGAAGCGGCCCCGCCGGGGTAGGCGGAGCCCTGCTGGTCCCGGGCGCCCCGCTGCTGGCCTGCGTGGAACGTGTTGCGGATGGTCACACCTCTGGTGAAGTTGGTACGGTCTGACACGGCGGCGCTGCTGATGTTGTGGGCAGAAGGGGAGGCACCAGGTGCCCGCTGTGGCGGGGCACTACAGAGGAGGGCGGAAAGACAAGAAGGAGCAAAATGGAGGGAAGGATGGCAAAGAAAAAGGTGATACAGAGGAGGGAAGGGTGTAGGAAGAGAGGCGGAAAGAAGTGTGAAGAGATTGTAGAGGTAGAAAAGGTTGGAAGGTGTGATAAGACAGTGAAGAGGAGGTGCAAATGAAGAATTCAGGGTGATGGAGATGGGACAGGAGACGAGAGAAAACGGGAAATAAAGAAAGCGTGAAAGGAAGGATAGTGAGGATGCAACGACAAGGGAAAAGAGAAGTGAAGTGTAGGAGGTGATGCAGGAGCAGAGAAATAGAAAGAAAGGAACAAATAGAGGAGTGAAGAAGGAAGGTTTGGGAGAGGAGCACAAAGTTAGACAGTGACAGAGAAAACACTGCCTTCTGATGTGCCATTTACTTTAGTGTAAGGTCATACAGGTGTCTGTGTCGACTCAACATGTCCTGATGTTTCAAGTAATCCCTAAAGTCAACTAAGTCAGTATTTAAGGCCACATCAGGTCAGTGGCACACGTGCAAATCAAACTGTTAATCCTCTTTGTCTTTGCTGAAGGGCAAAGCATCACAAACCTCCAGCTCTCTCACACAGACACACACAGACAGACAAAAACATACTCGCACATCGTCACTAGTCACTGAGCTAAAAGCTTGCATTTCCTCTGTAAGCGGGTACATCTTCCACACCAGTGTGGCAACAGCACACCTGCAGCAAACACAACACAAATGGCTACAGCACAAACACAAAGCGCGCACGCACACACACAAAGACAGTGGCGAACAGAGTGTAATACAGACAGACATCAGAAATTAATACACAATTTGCTGTTGAGGGCTGCTGCAGGACTGCACACAGCAGACATGTTTCAGATGAACTAATGCAGTTAATATCTCTAATGCAGGATGGAAACGTGAGGTTTTATTACACGGATTAACATGCATGGACATGCATCGTGTGCACGTGCACCACACCTCAAAACACAACACAGAACAGAGTTTTTCTTGCTTTCTCTGTCAAATACTCTTGAGGCTGATGACTTTCTGAGGCATGATTCACTCAATCCATAATTATAACAGTATCTCTGCCACTGTGAATAACATGACAGTGGTTCTCTACTGCTCTGGAAACAACATAAACGATCACCATGTATTCTGACTTTGTCACCACTGAATGTTTTGTCCCCTCCCAAAGGATTCTTTAAAGCTCCCGTCTTTTAAAATGTGGTTCATTAAACAGTAAAATAACTGTACTAGCTGGGAAAAATGCATCAATTAAACTACGAACTGAGCTGAAACAAAACAGTCCTGTGCAGTCCCTCTAGTACACTCAATGCTCAATACAGAATTATAGAAAAAAATAAACACAAAACAAGACGGGGCTTTCAGTCAGGTCTCCAGTGAAGCAGTGTGATGAACAGCTCAGGCATATCCTTTAATTTGATGCGGATATGCGAAAGTTGTGCAAAGGATGAAAGGTACCTACACACACAAACTCATCTACAGATTAATATGCAAGGAAAGAAAAGCTGGATCAGGCAGATTAGTGGGGACCAGTGTGACATATTAGAGTCATGAAGATGATTTGATTGGACGGACGACATATTGCCAAGAGGGAGACAGCTGCAGTGTTTTCCAATTGGTTTCCACATATTAAAGCGTTTCTCGTGTCACTTGCAGATTTAAAAAGAAGGCACGTTATCCTGTGGATGCAGGCTGGTGAACCCTCATGGTGCAGCTGGATGATTGTCAAGCGAGACACGCATAAGTAGACTGCACCTACGTTACACAAATGTGGAGCCGTCAGCGTTCACCTGCTTCATTAAAAGTCAATTAATGAGAATGGTATTTGGAGGGTTCTTTAGAAGGGTGTTTGGGGACGGCTGGATAAAACGGGAGTGGACGGGAGTTAGGGGCACAGATTATGCTCTAAGAAAAGGCGCCTATTCGTCACTCAGGGTACAGTCTAGGTGTTGGAGTGGTACCTTCTCTCCAGCGTTCCCAACCAGGTTCTGAACAGCCCAAGCTCACTGCTGAACGACGCATGCAACAGAACAAGACTTCAACATAGAGCAGACAAAACCACATACAGCCAGAGGGCCGCCTTGACATTCGCTCTGCTGGAAATTTCGTCTGACATTTCTGTTGTTCTTTTTTTTTTTCTCTTAGTGGACCACAAAAGGAAATGGAGGTCAGTGTCTGTGCATGTTGTGTATAAGCTCAGCCCCAGAGAGTGTTTTCAGGTAACTGAGGGACACAGCCAAAGACCTTTCACCCTGCACTTTATGCACCGTAGAACTGAAAATATCAAAGCAGCCCTTGAAACAGACACTGTTAAGCAGGGGGAGCAAGCAAACAGAGCAAAACAAGACGCAGACAGCAAACACACACAAACAGGTCACACGGATGACCGACAGGACAGACAGGTCAGTTCTCCATTTCATTCAGTCCAAGAGACACATCATAGAACAATTAATGCCTAACAGATGAAGGTGGGGTTTTCCCAGGCAACTTTATATGGTGGGTTTTTACAGTAGATTGAGACTTTGACAACCTTCAAAGTGACCAGAGTTCCCACACACTGACTTGAAATTCACTTGTACAAGCCGGGGAAAACCCTTTTTGTCAACAAACACAATATGTCAGTGTAGGATAAACCAAAAACGTCTTCACAGGCCATGCAACAGATTGTAAAAAGATGTTTTCACATCAACACACGGTGACACAACGGTTACATCTGGATTGTGTCTGGTTCTCCCCAGAGCACCTGCACAGTTTTTTTTACACCACCTATCTTCACCAGCACAGGTGGACCGGTCAGGTGAGTGCAGCTTTAGAGTTACACATTTATTAAAAGGATCATTCACACCTGAAAATCTGGCAATAAAAGGCAGTTTGATCAATTGAAGGCAGGTGTTTATCAGATATGTCTTCACTGATGTTTTTAGGATGTAAACAATGTTTTTCTTTAGTACCACTGCCAGTCGGGGGTTGGCTGAATAGCTGCCTGAACGATGATCAGATCTGAGACTCAGCATTTTTCTGATTGTATTTTTTTTTTTTTTTTAAGCCTCACTATTGTTGATTAAATAAATCAATTTATAAATAAGCTACATCAGCTCTGATGCAGTCCACTCTCTATTTGTAGTAACTCTGTGTTCTACAGTTGTCTCTTAATTCAAGCTGAGGTATTTCAACAAAAGTTTTGTGTTCAATTTATTGTTGCAAATTCTGACAAGATTTTCACTTTTTTTGGCAAATGTGCCACTGTGCATCCGTTCTAAATGTTGCTTATAGGTCTCCTTGATTATAAATGTCGGTATTGACCCTGAAAAAAAAGGTATTCGTCTGTCCCTCCCCTACAAGATATAATAAAACTATACGGATAGAAAATTCATTCGAGCTGACACTGGTTATGCTTTTATGCTTTACATCTTTCCACAATGGTTGGATCTTGTCTTAAACGACAGAAAACCACTGTGATACAACATCTTCATCCTTTCACGTCAGAAAGTGTCTCAGAATTGTCAGCTTGTTGTATTTTACCCCTTTGACCTAGAAGGCACACATGCAGCACACCTCATTATCAAGCCAGCCAATAAACCAGTTCGTACAAAGGGCTGGTCTACACACACTTCATCAGTTATCGAGGTTTCTGTGTGTGTGGAAACCTGCTCCATAAATGAGTTTCTCTCTGAACTTGTCTGTTTTTCTTTCCTGCCAGGAAACAACACAAGTCAAAGGAATCTATCTGGTCTGTCAGGTGGAGTACAGAGGAAAACCCTGCTCGTCTTGTTCTCTGACTGTTCATTTACTGTACGGCGCAGCCGGTAAATGTGAGGTTTGAATGCGACTGATTGGCCGAAGACAAGATATGTCAACATCGCTGCACTTGTGCAGCTTTCTGAGCTCCACCATCTACTTCCTGGCTGTTGCTAAGTAACTGGTGAGTCTATGATTGCTAGTCTGAGAAATGTTGGACATCTTACCCTGGTTTTAGCAGTAAATATATATACATAGCGAGATACTCTGGGTCTTTGTTCAAACATATGAAACCGCAACAGATATGATAGTGCTGTTTACTAGATCTGCTGAATTTTGCTTCCTGGTTGTGGCTTGTCATGAGGAAGATTATTATTTATTTGACAAAAGAGTTAAAAAGCCTGTTTCTAAGCTGTGTACATGCTACCCATCACAAAAAGTGACATAACAGAGGTGCATGATCTACATTTTTTTAATTTCTAAAACTTCTACAGTGTGTTGGCATCTTTATTTTAAAAGTTAGTCCCTGTATTTGCCTTTTCTTTTCCATTTCATTTACCACTGTTGGGACTAAAAGACACAGGTGAACCAAAACAGCACAAAACCAGAGAATAAATGGCGTACAGAAATTGATAGAGACAGAAAAACTTCCCTCTGCTGATGCCTATGTGAGGCGACTGTTGGCAAGCGGAGCAGGTAAATAAAACTCCATCTCTCTGGGGAGAAAAATCCGCTTTCTTTGATCGATTTCACAATTTGTGGAGGAAAAATATTGGCAGCGAGGTCACCGCTATGTGCCAGGATTTGTCACTGTGTGAATAAAAGGTAAATCAAAGAGCTGTTTTTTTTTTTTTTTCCCTCCTGAAAGTAAAAAAAGAATAAAAAGTTTCCCTTTTAATCTAGCAGTGGTGGATGTTTTCAGAGCCAACAATTCACTTTATTCTGTCTTCATCTCTCCTTTTTCCTCTTTGTCCATTTCAGGAAGGATGATGATCTGCGCTGAGTGAAGAGGATTTTTTTCTTTTTTTGCTGAAGAAGGTGTGTCGGTGAGAGTGTGTGAGAGACAGACAGAGAGAGTGAGACTTGCCTGGGCCGTGGTGCGTGCAGGTCAGAGGGGCATGGATGATTGGAGGAGGAATGGGACTTTTGGTGGCGGGGACGCGAGGAGGAGGAGGAGGAGAGGACGGCGGCGGCCGAGGCAGTGGAGGCGCGGGAGCCCGGAGTGTTTAGGCTGGGGGGGTGGGAGGACGGGGAGGAAGGGGAGAAATGCCCCGCCCAGCACATATACGCAAACACACCCGACAAAACGTGAGCAACACAAGACAAGCACACCCAAAAAAAAAACAACAACAAAAAAACCATTCACGTAAAACACAAACACACCGGGCGGGGTTCGTGTATGGATGGGCAGGGAGGTGAGGTGGAGTATGGTTAGAAGCAGCACTTCTTATCAAACACAGTAAAAGGGGAAGGTGGGGAGGGGGGCAGGAGAGAAGAGCAGAGAGAGAGAGAACAGGAACACAGGAGGAAGAACAGAGGAAGTAGATACAACAGAGACAGAAAACACATGCAGCACAAAAAAAAAGGACTCAAACAAAGAAGGAGAGTTGGTCTCTTTTTTTCTTTTTTCGCTGCTTCATCGTGGTTTCACAAAAAAGAAATCACAAACCACAATCAAAGGCTGACTATGTTCTTGTGCCTTTGCTTGTAAAATCCACCTGATATAAAAGGCAGAGAGCAGAAGAGACCAACTTTCACACATGCTTTTCTACTGGCTGGGACGCACTGAACAAAGAGACAAACTGTGTGGATAAAGTCGGAGAAAACTCATCGGGGTGCCTTAATATTCCCTCTGTTGTCAGCCGACATATTAGAAAAGCACTATTAAGATACTTTATAAGGCACCAAGTGAAATTCAAACCACATTTTTCTTCCAGTTTACCTTTCAGTGAATAAATCTCTGTGTTTTGTCTGTTTTTGGGGGTCAAATCCTGGTGAAACACACTGCAATGTATAATTCATTCACTTTTATATAATCACAGTGCCTGAACGAGTAGTTCAACTGGCAAACACCTAAACATAAATTTTGATATTAAACTGTTTTCTTTCTAAACAGAATTGCCAAATATCCACTCATTCCAGCGACTCAGATGTGAAGATTTGCTGGTTTTAGTGTTCAATGACTATAAACTTTTCCCTCTTTAATGAACATAATCTAAACTTTATAGGTTTTTCTGTAAAAAACAAACACGAATTACTTCAAAAACACTGACTATTTCCTTTGCACTGTTATTCCTACAGGTTGCCACAAGGCTCTGCACATTACTGACAGCTGTAACTTGATTTTATCCACACGCTGGAGGGGGGAAAAAAAAAAAAAAACACAGTACGGGACATCGGAGAGTGGTACCAGAGGGAGACAGAAGAACGAGCAACGAGAGAAAGAGGGACATTTACAGAGGTCGACCAACAGCTGCTAATTACACAGAAAACAAACACATAGCTGAGAGCAACACAAACTCTCTTTCTGACAGGGATTAGCATTACTGGTGATGGAAAAATAACTACATTCACTGGACAACCCGGGTGTGTGGCAACGGTCCGAGCATGTGCGACATGTATGTTTCAACTTGTGTGTACGTGCGCGGCGTCGGTGTGTGCGTGGATGTTTTTGTGTGTGTGTGTAAGCCTATTAAGAGGCGAGTACAGGGACCATATAGTGCCACTAAGAGTTAATATTCCATCACAAGTCTTTCTAATCTCCTTAGAGAGAAAGAGAGAGGGCAGAAAAATGAAAGAAATAAGAAGAGAGATTAATATAAAGAGGAGAAGTTGGAGAGAAAAAAAAAAGAAGGAAGCTGGAAGAAAGCAAAGAAAAGGAGGTGCCGAGAAAATGTGTGACTTAGGATCCAGAGGGAGGAGAGCTCAGATGCAGATAAAAGAAGAGCAAATTAAGAAAATTAGAAAAGGAAAGGAAGAAAGAGAGAGAGAGGGGGTGGCTGGGGGAGGTGGGGTGTAACAAGTATAAAAGCCCAAACTTCAAAGCATTAATGATGATCAAAAAAAAAAAAAAAAAGCAACTTTAAAAATCAAAGCAGATGACAACCACTAAGTTAGCAGAGGCTACCATAGCTAACAGACCCACAGTGCTAAAACAAAAAAAAAAAAACAAGGCAATGCTGTCTCAAATGACCACCTCGTCACCGCTCGGATTACACAGGAATAGCAGGAATTTATCAAAGCTGATCAGATTTTACAGCCAAAACATGGATTCGGTTCAATTCTTTCAAGAAGCTGGGAACAAGAGGGGGTCATTTGAGACTGATACATGAACAAGTAATAAAGCAGTATGAACCATGACCATGAACTCTGCATCGTAGTAAGGATTATGGCTTAATGTTTAATGCTAATGAAAAAGCACACAAAGCATATGGCTGGTTAAGCATGGGTGATGTGGGCGTTAAGTCGTATGTGTGGACACGCATGAGCTGTGTAACACCAGACGTTGGCGCTCGCTAGAAATTCACACCGACGACGTTACTGGGCAGTTAAACTTATTTTTAAATATTTGGATTTTTTTTTTAATGGAGATATAAAGGAAGTCCCAGAACACATTTTGTGGGACTAGACTTGTTTGAAGTGGTTGAGGAAGAAAGGAGAGCTGAGAGGATGAATTACGTTCAGGAAGAGTGAAATGAGAAAAGGGAGGGAATGTCTTCGTCCAATTCAGTGAGCGAAAAAGAAAACGAGGGAAGCCTGACTTGTGGCTAAAAAAAAAAAAAAACAAGTCAAAGAAGCATGCATTAAATCCTGCTTTCAGCTATTTATTATGATAATTGCTAATTTTGTACTTTTGCACCTGCTTACTTATTTAAAAAGTCATGCTTGATCAGTTGTAACACTCATAGTAGACAAAGTTTAGATTGAAGAGAACTTTTTAGTCTCAGGAAAGAATTGAAACAAAGATTAGAGTTTGAAGAACTAATATGGGTCGGTGTGCCATCTTATGTAAACCTGTAGGTGTGCGTGTCCATCAAACTCTTGTGTGCTCCGACTGGCGCGACTCCATCAGACAATCGCGGGTAATCTGTAATCTACTAGAGGTTTGGCCTAAATTCCCAAGAGAGCCTGATTTCCATGTCCAGGAGGCCTCACCCCACCCTGGGGGGAAGGCTGTGGGCCTTCCTGAGCCAGCTGGCAGAGCTCTGGAGAGTACCAGCCAAGGTCTGGGATTCAGTCACTGAGACAGCTGTAGGACTGCTTCATTCACAAACCATGGTGAGTGTGTTTGTATTATGTGTGCATTAGTGAGGAAGCAGCGCTGCCTCACAGCAACTAGTTGGGTTGTCAATGACGACAAAGAGTGTCTGTGAGAACGATCGAATGTGGGTGTATTTGCCCTCGTCTTTTGAAAGCATCTCTTATTTGTAATTGTGTATTTTGTGTGCGTCTTTGTGTACCTGTCCTTGCCGTTCTGGATGCCCTGGCCCAGCGTGGCTCTCTCAGTCAGAGGAGAGTTCCGACTGCGACCTGTACCGGTGGACAGGATGCTATTCTGAAGGGAGAAAGTGGAAAAATAATGTCAGAAATATAGAAATAATTGAGACTGAGGAGGAGTGGACAGCGGACGAAGGACGGCGTGATGTCCTTATAGGCAACCAGGTGTTCCTGGAACAGCCTTGAGCAAGATTCCCAATCAGCAAGGACGAGTAATTTAATTTACCTAATATTAATTAAATCTTTACTTAATTATCCCTTCAGAGAATTTTCTGTATCAAATTAAATTTTCTGCAGCTTGTCAAAATTACACTTCCTTTTCACCTCAGTATTTTATAAAGGCTCTGCATTCCTACACATTGGTTTTCCATTACCATTACAAATTAGCGCTCTGCTGCTGCAGAGTTTGGGCAGAGTTACACAAGAAATTACATAATGTCACCAGTATCCTCATGTAAATAAAAACAACACCAAAGAGATCGAGCACAGTAAAACAGCTTGGTATAATGAAAACAACTCAACAGTTATTTTAAACGTGAAACCTTCTTAGCTGTTGTAAGACACATCACAAGATACTGAGGTTTGACAGAATTAAGACAAACAAATGTCACTGTTATCTGACATATATTCATCGTTTTTGTGTTATTTTGTTGGCTGACAGGCGCTTGTTGAGGAACTTCTAATGCAGCCTTGGGGGTTATTAAATGATGCCAACTGAGTAGATGACAGAGCAGAGAAAATAAAACAGGACTTCCTCCACAGAAGATGAGGCTTATTCATAAGGAAGATCTGCCCCCCACATCTCGGTGAACATGGGTTGTCCCCACTTTGCTCCACCACCAGTGACCACTAGACTCTGGCCAGTCCTGTCCTCGTCTCCTACCTTCACTTTGGACTTGACAGTCTAACCACTAAAATACTTTGATCTAGCATGTTTCCGCCATAAACCTTTGCCCTCTACTTTCGTATGATCTCTGCTTATTTAAACCACAGCAGTGAAACCACAAGTGTAGTTTCACTGGTTTAGTTTAGTATCAGGGTCCTGTTACTGTCACAACAACTGTTTCACGGATGTTACTATTAACACCTCTGCTTTTCCTACAAGAAGTCAAAATGTCCACAAACTACAACTTTTGCAACAAGATAAAAACATTGTAAAGGCCTGTGTCTAACTGAATCACTTGACTATCACACGGGTGTAACACCAGACTGGTTACAAGACAACTTACAAGTTGCACATTTCCACTTCCTTTATAGTTTAATGGTCATCTCTTTCTATCTAATCATTAACTAGCATTTATTTTGATCTTTGGACCACAGTAAAAGATAAACGATGGCTGATACAAGCCTGAACCACGTGTGAATACAGGTGTATTTTGTCTGAATTTGTGTTCCTGTATCTGCAGACACTGATGACCGAAGAACCATTTTGATTTTGACAGAAAGCGAATGTTGTAAATATCACGGAGGCAGTGTTGGGTCTCACGGTGGAGGGCGTGGCGCTCTTCTTGCGGTCAGAGGAGACCAGAGGGCTGGCCGGCACCTTGGTAGTGGAGCTGCCTGATGAACTCTTCCTCCCAGAGTCGTCTCCTGCAGACCGGTTGTCCGCCTGGCCTCCCTTCTTGGAGTAGGAGGAGCCTAGAAAAAAAAAAAGAGAGAGATGATCACAACAGGTCCAAACCGCGGATATCAAGCTCGTCTTTTGCGCTGCCTCTCGTTTGTCACTTTTCCTTTCATTGCCCTCCTCCAACAGAGATCACAATGACAGATTTCTTTCATTCTTTCTGCTCGAGCAAACCTCTGCTCTCAAATTAATCTTGTGCCTTCTTCACTTCAGCCTCTATCTCTTGCTCATTCTTCACATCTTTGTCACACACCCCATCTTTCTTACATTAACCTTTATTCCTGCATACATCATGCCCTCGCTGCTCCACCTGCCACTCGTCCATTACTCTTTAGTCAAATAATCTTATCCTTTACCCCGATTCTTCTGTAACTTAGCTTTGAAAAACACCGTAAGAAATCATCATAATGTGTCCCCAAAAAGCAGTACGTTCTACTTTAACTATTTAGAACTCAAAAGGAACTCATCCTTTCAGCCCTGTGTTTATATCCTTGAGCGCCTGACAAATTACCACCTCAATCTTATCCCCGTCTTCAATCCACTGTGCACCACACCAGCTTTGCCCTCCCTCCCCCAAACCACACAACAAACTCACCCTGGTTGGTGGCTCTGCGGTTCTGAGGCTTCTGGTTGGACGACACACTGCGCTGTACCTGAAGAGAGGCAAGATGGACACAAGTCAGTGCAGTGTTCCTACTGTCCCTACACATATTAAGATGTAAGTATGGGGGCCAAGACCTATGCTTAGAGCTGCTGTTCATTTATAGAGCTGTTCAAACACTTAAAAAAAAAAAGAGAAGAGTACTGCCAGAGTCAAGCACCCGGGAAGGGTGTGGTTTGCTGCAGTTCATGTTTACTGTAGGCCTACGATCAAGAACCTAAAAATAAAATACATCAAAGTGGATTCCACCGAGTGTTTCTGGTACAAAGACATGACCAACGTCAGTGTACTTGTGACACTGGCTCGAGTTGGGAGACTTCATTGTGCGTTAGCAGAAGATATTATGTGTTCTCGTTATACCTTGTGAGGCGGGGAGGGGGCATGTATGTTGCTTACATCACTTCCTGGTCGGGCCTTGATGCAACCTTCATCCAGCTACAAAACAGAAACAGAAAAAAAACAGAACAGGAGTTTTAATATGAGTGTACAAGCAGCAAAAAGGATAAACATTGTGTTTTAACCATGAAAATATTTGGCCATTCAGAGATGTCAAAAACATTGTCATATATAATCAGAAACTTGTTAAATTAAGTAAAACATATGTGAAATATATATCAGGATTATTTGTTTAGCAGTAAAAACAGGACAGCCTGTAAGTGTACCTCAGAGTTCCTATAGTCCAGAAGCAGGTACGTAGCCATCACATCATTATACTTCTGGTTCACCAGCGAGTCCTGGATCTCGTCCTGAGACAATCCCATCTGCAGCATGATGTCTGCGCACACACACAGCACAACCAGTTTATAATTAGAATGTGGACTTACTGTAGGTCCATAATTCTCCTAAAGATAAATCATCCACATAAGGGAGAAGAAGAAAATAAAAAGCATCTGTACTCGAGTGTGCCTGTGTGTGGGAAAAGAGAGGAAGAAATTGATCATTCTGGAGTGTTTCTGTGCCTACCTGTCCTCCTGGGGTCCTTATAATCTGGCTGAGGTTCAATGTAGGGTTTGAGTTCGTCCTCCTCGTAGCCCACATTCATCCACCGGTCCCTCATTATCTGCTGCTGGGAGCAAGCCAAACAGACAGATTCAGGAGGACAAAACATGTGAAGAAGAAGAAAAAAAAAAGGACAAAGAGGAGAGGGGAAGGAAGGACCAGTAAAGAGAAGAAAAGGTTATTACTGTTTAATCTGTAGCTTATTTTACTTCATCTGGGGTTTTCTCATGGGTGCAGTCTGGCATATTTACTGTCACTACACAAGTAAGTCTCCCATAAGGACAGAATGAATTCAGCTTTTACACTGACTCTTCCATATTAAAACTGAGATCTTTTAAAATGTATTTATTTATTTTTTTTACACACACAACACTCGTGGAAACACAGATAAGCAACATGAACATGAGTTCAACAGCTTGCATGAGGCGTTGTGAACAATCACAGCAGGATTAAAAGACACACTCCTAATCTAAAACACACAAATTCTAGAGCAGGTGTAAATGAAAAGTCACAAGACTCATTTCTAACACCGAAGCTTGACTTTACAGTATTTTTACAGAGCATGTCAAGACAAGGATTAAAAAAAATCATCTGAATAGGCAACACTAATAACAAGGTAATGACTGTTTTTTTTGGTTTGTTTTTTTCTGGTTGTCCAAGTAATATTTTCCGCCAAACAAGTGACCATCCAGCTACATTTAGTGCAACCACGTTTAGTAACTCATGAATCTCAAACTAACAAGTATTTACGACGCCTTTAAAAAGCACTTTACACCTCAGCAACAAATTCACATATAGCTGCTGAAATCAGTCCAGGTATACAGTACTCTATGTGCTGCACACACCATTGTATCAGTAGCAAAAGGCTACGTTCAGGAAGTCTGTAGGGTTTATTAAGTTACCATTAAACCACTGAAATGATTAATTTTACAGCAAAGCTAATTGAACAACTACAATAAACAGGACTTTCTAGTTTTCACAGCGTCAGTGTGTTGGGCTTTGTGTACGTGCAGTGTGGCGTACCTCGAGGCTGCCTCTTTTGGAAGGGTTCAGGATGAGGAACTTTTTGAGCAAGTTCTCACAGTCGGTGGACATATAGAAAGGAATCCTGTATTTACCACGCAGCACGCGCTCTCTCAGCTCCTGGAGGTGGAAAAATGCTTGGAAAGTTAGCGGGAGGCTCCAAATATCCACCTCAAAACACACACACACACACACACACACTCGTATTCTCTCAAGAAATGTAAGTTGTTTAACTTTAACAAAGCGACTTGACTGTTCAACATCAACAGTTTGTTTAATCAATTTTCAGTCTCATCTGTATGCAAGTGGCTCAATCTGATGTGGCTTTGAATTAGCCAAAGCAAACATTTAAACTGCAGTTACAGCTTCAAATGAATCATAGTTGTGTTAAACAAAATACACTGACCTCCACTAAGGCTGGTTAGCGTTCCAAAAAGCTAAAATTCAAACGGAGCTGCTGCATAGAATCTTGGTGATACGAGCATAGCTTAACATTCATGCACTTGCTGGTATTTTAATATGCTATTTATCTATGATATTTGAATTTACTCAACTTTCACATGAGCTATACGATCAGTCACAACCACATATGACATCATGATTTAACTATTTCAACATTATTTACATATGACACCTTAATAGTGTTCTACTGAACTTATTAAACTCTTAAATGTTGCTAATCTCATTAGAGGGTTTTTGGTATCCACCATGCATTCAGACAGTGAGGAGATTAATACATGTAGCGGCAGTTCTTTGGAACAGGCTTTAAAGAAGCATATTCTATCAGGCGCTGCATGTGCATAAACTGCAATACAGCAAAACGGCGTCAAATAAAAAAGACAGATTAACCATTAAACGAGCCGAAACATCATATATTGTAAATTTTGCCTGTGCATCAGTTTGACACAAAAAAAAAAAAAAATAGCAACACGCATCATTATCGCTGCAATCCAGCAGAGCCAAAAGAAAATCAGAAGAAAAGAGGATCCTGCCTGTTAAATAAACAGTGAATGCATGTCTTAAACACAACTCCAAACAGCAGCAAAGCCTAGGTTATGCAGGCCTGGTAATATCAATACCATCACATTCTATATCGTCAATTCGCCCACCTAAAATGTGTCTGCACTTCCAGAATGAGTCATGGGGCCACTGACTGACTGCACAGTGTGATAGGTGGCGTGAATGATTGTGGATAATGATTGCGGATGTTTAAGAACCGAACATAGCACCAGGTATATTTGGCTGTTTGGTGCAGCAGACCGCAAACCACCTGTTTCAAAGTTTAATACTCGGACTGACTGTCTGACTTTCACACATTCACTTTTTCTTGAGTTCAGCTTCTGCATTCTGTAGGGCAGAAGGAACAGAAACCAGCATGACAAATACTACAACCACCCACAGAATACAGACATCCACTTATGTAATGCGCATGAACACATACACAAACACACACACGCTTTCTCTTTTTTCCGACCTTGAGGTTTTGTCCGTCGAAGGGCAGCGAGCCGCTGACCAGTGTGTAGAGGATCACTCCCAGGCTCCAGACGTCCACCTCGGGCCCATCGTACTTCTTGCCCTGGAAGAGCTCTGGGGCTGCATAGGGCGGGGAGCCGCAGAAAGTGTCCAGCTTGTTCCCCAGAGTAAACTCATTACTGAAGCCAAAGTCTGCTATCTTGATGTTCATGTCTGCGTCCAGCAGCAGGTTCTCCGCCTGCAGACAGTGTGGAGGGGCAGAGAGGTTAGAGGCAGAAAGACAGATTTATTATGTACAGAGCAGGAGGATGTGGAGGGAAACAGGAAGACATATACAGAGGAGAAAAGGAAACATTATTAATAAACAGGGATGTATCACCAGAGGACTGCACTACGAAGCAAGATTAGTGGGTCAGAGAGGTATGTTGAGCTTAAAGTCAGAGTTTTCAGTGTCACGAAGGTGTCTCTCTTTTGACCTGCTAGATCTCCATGGTAACTTACGATGTGGAGCTAACCTGGTCTGGAGCAGGTTATGTTCAGAGTTTCAAAGTTAAATTGGCTGGACAGAGTCTGCCTTTCAATCTAATTGTTTACTAACTATTATTTATGAGCGATACAGATTCTCAGCCGAGGGAATGTGTTTTATCTGCAAACATGCTGAGTTGTGTGTTACTAATATCACTGAATGAAGCCATGCAGTTACAGTATTGCACACTGTAAATATCGTGTTGCCATGGTAACCCAACATGTATTTGGTTGGCCATGCAGAAACCACATGAATATGTTTTTATGTTGGGTTGTCAAGTCCGTTTACACTGCTGGTACTGCAGCTGATAGAACACAGATCAGAAAATGGATTATTCTACTGGCATTTATTTCAGAGAATATTCAATCAATAACATTCATTTCGATCAGATTTGGCCAAAAACTAAATTGATATCCTGCATTATGTAACAGTGTCTGACATAAATACACTTCAATACAAGATCAGGTTTAAATATATTAAGTTTAAAGTTTAACTTTAATGTGCAGCTGTTATATATTAACACGTTTAACAGTTTTCTACCAGCATTTCTGTCTTGCAGCGCTTTCACTGCCATAATACCGTCCATTTTATATTCCACATTGCTCTCCATTAAAACTACGTGTTGACTGAAGCAGCTGCACATGATCGTTTCATTTTGTGCAGAACCAGAGTCACGTGACGTGTTAAACGCCTCCTTTTCATGTGAACATGCACAAAGTCTGAAGCAGAAAGCCTGAGTTAGCAAAGAAAGTCTATAACCACCTTCGTGATACACAATATCTCTGGCTGGGGCTTTTGTCTTTGTCGAGCCAGCTTACACAAAGAAAGCCTGGCTCTGTCAAACTTGCTTTGTAGTATACACCTCTGATACAACAGCAAAGCAGCTGTTGTTTTCACCTTGTGAGTCAGTTTGTCTGTGAGTGTGTCTCGATGGCAAAATGCAGTCCTGGACATGCAGACTGTAGCGACCACAAAGGTGGTTTTGAACACTTCGGCAGCTGTTTATATGCTTGTTTGCAGACAGATTTTGTCAACATGATAGCATCTCAACTGACCAAAATGCAGCCAAACAACTTTACAGGTGTGTAGTTGAGATCAAAATGAAGGCTGAGTATGAAGATGGTCCTGGTGAGAGCCCTATGCAATACTGTAGTAATTACTGCATTACTACATGGGCTAAAACATGAGCACACTGACAGATGTCGCGGCTGCTGTGATCCCTTTGCAGGAAGGTCCCTGGTTTTTCCCTGAATACTACATGTGTGAAGAAATGGAACAGATACTTAAAATTTGCTTTTGTGCGATATGGTAATGTGATATTTATTTTTATGCATACGGAACCCTTTTCTCTATTTTCTTCTTTCCAAACACAGATCAGAGCTACAGAAAGCTTAAAGCTGGGCTGAATAGCTGAAAAATACAGATTAACAAATAGGCCAGCTTGTCATGCAGTGTCAGTGTAACAAAGAATTTCTGTGACATGCAAATGAGTTTGAAGATAACGGATCCTATGTTGTCACGGAGAGTTGTCTAAAATACCTTCCTTTGGAGGAAAAACTGCTGGGTGAAAAAGAGGGCTTTCAGAATAATGGTCTGAGGCCTACAAGTAGCACACAATGGACAAAGTGAGCTACCACAGTTTATTTCTGTGTGTGTTTGTGTCTTTAAGCCTAAAGTGAGCCAGTGAGCAAGGAGGCTGGGGTTGCCTAGCAACAGGTGCGCTCTCCTTTTCACTTGCTCTGAATACTCTGCAGCTTCTGTGTGTTTGAGTGTATGTGAGAGTGTGCATGCACATTAAATACAACACTGACATCATCTCTAACCTCTGATCAACAAAATAAATGAACACTGGCGATAAAGTTTGTTTTGTTCGCATTAATTATCCATTCCTAATTCACATTTTTTAAGTTGGCCAAATGAAAAAGAAAATTGATGTTTTTTTTTTTTAACTTTGAAGAAGAAAAAATTACCTAGAGTGTTGCAGATAGAGCAGTACATAGCATATTTAGAACATTATGGTAGCAATTTTGGGTTGCCCATCTTGGGACCCAGAGTTTTTTTTAGCGTCACTGCTAAATGCACGCTCATCAAAATTTGCTCTTGCAGTGTAGGATCTACCAGAGTCAAGCCTGTGTTGGATTTTTCATTGCAACCCTCAGATCAGGAGTGATTAAGATAATGTGCAGGATGCCACACATTAAAATAATGAGAACTGTACGTCCACCAGAAACCTCTTATTTCTCATGCTGCCTGTTTTGTAAATTACAACCATCATTACATTCTAAAAGTGCAAAACATGTTTCACAACGTTGGTCAAAGCACTGAAAATGCATATTAAAAAAGCCAAAAATGACCACTGGTGGGGGAAAAAAATAACTACTTTGAGATGGGAGCTTCCTGTATGGTTACTGTAGCTGCAATCATGATAATGTCTTGTCTACAGGTCTGCCTGCTGGAACAGTAAGAGGATTTGTGACTCTGCATAACACTCTGAATTAAAATGATCGGGAGGTGTTAGATCTGTGCATGAACATTGTGTTTAATTTTTGGAACCAACCGATGTTAAGGGACATAAGAGGAGAATTGGTGCAAATTTAAGCCTGTGTAGGGGTATGTGTGTTTAAGCCCCCGTTCTCAAAGAGGGACACTGTATTACCGCTGCGATTAACCTCTGTGTCGCATGTTCGTGGGGGCAGGATTTCATTGCCGAGAGTCAAATCATATAAAGATTAATGCGGAGATTCAGAGAGAGATGGAGCTTGCTTTGACACTCAATGTAATTCAATAATGCGTGTGTTCTCACCTTGAGGTCTCTGTGTACTATACACTTCTGATGGCAATACTGCACTGCTGACACAATCTGGAGAGTGAGGAAGGGAGAGAGGGAGACGTAAGAGGAGATAAAGGATGACAAGATGAACAGGTTGAAATAGACCATGAAAAAAAGAGGCTGAGAGCTCAGATAGATAATGATAAATAGTCGACCATTAAAAGCTTTTAAAACAATTACTAAGGCTGTTTAAAGCTACACAAAAAAACTGACAACTGTATCTTATGAATCTATGTGAAGTGGTTCCTAAAAATCGCTTTTGAAGCCAAGACAGACAATAATTTCAGTTCAACCTGTCTTCAAACACACACAATACAGTAGTGGCACAAACGTCTGTGAAAATGACGACGACAAATACTTTTCCCGACACATACCTGTCTGAATTTGGCACGGGCTTCTTTCTCCTTCATCCTGCCATGGGCCACCAAGTAATCAAAGACCTCTCCTGGGAGACCACAGAAACAGGAGGAGAGCAGAGTTAGCGTTGGAACCCGATACTTGTCTCCTTAAAGTCAGAATTAGGGGTCAACGGGACACTGAATGAAACATTGTCCTTCGAGAACCCAAGTATGAGAACAGTGCTTTAAAACGGTCAATATTTAAAGACGGTTTTGTTACACATTTGACTTAACACACACACAATAACAATGTAAACCATCAGTCTGTCATTTTTCCATGATTTTGAGGCTAAATGAATACTGCCATGATGAAAAGACTGACTCAGACAACTCCAAAAGGATTAATAGAATGACATGGGCTATTGTATGCAGTCATTTCCATAAAGAGGAAGCTCATTTTCAATAGGAACGCGATGAATAAATAATATGAAAACAAGAGATCGCCACTAACAAAAGTCCTAATAGCCTGTGCATTAATTTTTGTTGGCTGGAGACCATTAGCTTATTATCTAACATACAGAGTGCCAAGCTTCAGGGGGAATGATTTCACAGGGACATGCACTTACCTCCACTAGCGTACTCCATTACCAGGTACAAAGTCTTCTCTGTCTCTATCACCTCAAAGAGCTTGACTGCAGGTGGAGAGAGAAAGGCAAAGAAAGGAGAGGGGGAGGCAGGAGAGTGAAAAGGAGGAGCGGTGGAAATAAGAGTTGAGCAAAGAGAAGACAGCGGGAGTGAAAGTCGAAATCAAGACAAAACAGAAGAAGGATTATCATCGTTCGGCTTGAATATATGACCTTCAAAGGCTGATTAAGTTTGGTTGTCGGTGAGTGACGACAGTGTGGAAACTTCAGTCTGACTCACCTATGTTGGGATGATTCAACATCTTCATGATCCTCACCTCCCGAAAGAGCTGCAACACACACACAGTGTTCTGGGTCAAATACTTTTAGATTTTTTATGTTCTAGTGCAATTTCTTTTTTGTATCATTGCAAAGAGTCCCGAATCAGTGTTGGGTAAAAATGACACTGAAAACACAAATATCCACTTCCTGTTTATGAGCATGTGGGTCAAATTACTTGAAAGAAATGGTTGTTGACCACATATAAACTACATATCAGCAGAAATTCAAGCAATACAGGTTTAATCCAAGGTGTGGTGCTCTTTAGAATTTCAGAGTTAAACAGTCAAATGTCTTGTTTCTTTCCTTGATCAAGCTGCAAAGATGCAAAAGGAATTTATTTCCTCTTTGACCCAACAGATGAGGTCAAACTAGGCTTACTGGATGCTTTTTGGACAACTCTTGAACACAGATGGAAACCTAAAAACCAAGAACGACTCACTAAGTTTAAATGCAACTTTCTTAGCAGCAAAGTAGCTGCTCAGTCTGTAATATTTACTCACACACTGTTTCATGGAAAACTTCAACATCGCTTAAATCTGGGACCAACGCAGTGCAATAAATCTGAACTTTAAAGCTAAATTTACTTTTAAATCAACTTTAAACAGGCCCACGTAAGCACTGTTACTACTTAGCAACCCCTGAAAACACAACTGCAATTTTTAAAAAGCCAAATAAACAAGACATTTACACTTCTGGCCTGTATTGACGGTCTGTGTTGCTAAACTTGACACTGATGTAACAATTAAACACGTATCAATGAGTCACAGTGCTCTGGGCGCTGCACTCTTTCGTTGCCGCGAACAGACTATTTTGAGTCAAACCCACATACACTGTCCTGCTGCTTTTAACGCTCGCTGTGGCACCAAATGCGTACTAACCTGCAGCATAAAATATTCCCCAAACAAATGGATTATTTATGCCTCGTTCAGTAATTGTTGCTAAAATTACAGTACAAGGATGTTCAGGGAAATCCCTGAGCTTTCAAAAAATATTTATATAATTCGGCAAAACGACTAAACTTGGGATTTGAGTGAATATTTAGACTGTATTGTTGGTTTTTGGTTCTTAAATTAAACAATAAGACGACATCACTACAGCCTGTATAGAGTGTAATGTCAATTCTGCTCCTTTGTTGAAAATGAATTAGCACCATGCGTCTTTTATTCAATATGAGGATGTACGACTGTCAGCATTTATCACTGGATGAACATGTTGGGCCCGTCGGTGTCTTTTCTTTGTCTTAACGTCTGCTCACCAGTGTGTATCCAGCGCCTTATGTCTGTGGATGGATGGTCTGTGCGTTCAGTGTGCATACATGGTTAAGAGAGTGTGCGTGTAAGTGGACAGACCCCACCCTGCCACGATCAAAAGAAGTAATTGCAGCTTGTTTCCTGTAATTAAAACTCTCTCTGAAAACTAGACCACTTCAGAAAGACAGAGAAAGAGGCGGAGAGAGAGAGAGAGAGAGAGAGAGAGAGAGACACATGGGGCAGGAAGAGTGACTTAAAAATGGTTTCTGAGAAAAGGGACAAGAAGGACCGAGGGTTGAATTTTGTGTGTGTGAAAGAGTTGGAGAGACCCACCTTCTGCAAACTGGAGGAGTTGAGCTGTGTCTTATCTATGATCTTTACAGCCACCTAAGAAGGCAAAATGAGAATGTGTTCATTTATCACTGCACTTTTATTAATTTATTACACTTGCTGCATCGGGCTTGACGCATCTTGCTCACACAGACCTGCACAGCCTGTGACAGCACAGCACAAACACACTGCTATCTTTTTGGACACACCACACACACATACACACACACAAAACAGAACGATACAATCTCGCAGCATTAAGTGATAAAACACACAATCACAGCAGGCGATAGTTGCATAATCGGACAGAATACAGATAGAAACACACACAGAGAGCTGAAGCATGGCTTTTACACATGCCATAATAAGGACTACCGTTTATAATCCAACAGTGGTCACCAGGAAAGATGACAGAGAAAGATAAAGAAATAAAACACAGGAAAGAAAAGAAAGAGAAACAAAACAGGAGAAAAATGGAGAATCAGACAGATGGGAGGGATTCAAAGTGAGAGCTGCAGAAAAAAAAAAGGAGATGAAACGGAACAAGAGGAAAGAGGACATGAAGGCAGGGAAACAAAGAATTATCTCTTCACAAGGACACAGAAAAGGGAGGTCTGCTTCTCTCTCTCTCCCATTTCTGTGTTTCACTCTCAGCTAACTTCTTTCTTTCACTCCTCTTTCTGGCTGTGCTCATCTGTCTGACTCTTTCATGCCCTCTGACTCTCCCTTGTTTTCTTTGTGTGTGTTAGCCAGCAAGTCACATGGAGTGTTATCAGGGTGTCAGGCACAGAGCTGTCACACTCCGACTGAGCCCGCCCAGCCCTCCCTCCATCTCCAACACGTAGCTCCAGAGCTGACTTGACTGGGCATCAGACAAGAGCTCAGCGTGCAGACACAGCTTTTCCCTTAAAGGACTGATCACTACGTTACATCACATCTGGAATTCACAGTAAGCCGGAAATATTTGGGCTCCTCTATTCAGGCTGACAATGGTTATCTAAATCTTCTGTAGCAGATGTACCGTCTCTAAAGCCATGCAAGCCTCAGATCAGACCACACCTACTGTGTATCACAGCGTGAAGCCCTCCCTTATCCTCGGCAACCAGGAAGCAAGATTAACATTTAGACATTAGCCAAACATTTACAGCCTTTTTTTTCTCTACTTTACGCCATCGTGGTTAATAAAAAATCGGAATACATTTTTGGTGATTAGACAGCCATAGAGTAAAAAAATAAAAAACAGAATAGGCAAAATCCATCAGGTTATATACTAACAGTTTCATATGGTACGTCAAAGCAGTGTGTTGCTAGATTAACTTAATTTTCTAGACAAAGGCTTCAGCATTATTAGCATTTTCTGCATTTGTGAATAAAACACTGATGAGACTGTGTTTTGCTAAAGTGGCAACAGACAAATTTCTCTCTATGAGTTTCCAAGTGGTCATGCTGTTGGCCTGCTGTCACAAAGACTGGGTGGCTTTCCATTGTCCTTATAGCCTAGTGACTACCAACAACAAGGCACACAAACGATCAACAGCATCTGGTTGTATTAATGAGCAAACAGATTTTATTACGTATCTAGTAGACAGAATGCTAACAAAATGTTAAAGCTCTTAAGTCACAGTTCGTGCCTGTTCACTCTTGTTTTACTCCCTCTCTTCGCCTTCGTTTTTTCCTCTCACAATGGGGCTCTTTTGCTTTTGTTGGGTAGAGTTTCCAAAGTTACTCAGGTGCTTCCACTGTCTACCATTTCAGCTACCTGGGGACAGGTAGTAGGGAAAACAGAAGCGCTATCCTCTTCCTGTTTTGGTTGTGCATTGTCCTGTAAATCAAGCGTTGATGTTCCCAGGAGATTTCGTACTGAGACGGAATTGCACAGTGAAATTTATAAGGAATGAAAGCGATTGCTAATGGCATCGTTATTCTATATACATTGCGCAATCAGCATTATCATAGCTTCAAAAGATGTCTGTTGCCACTTAAACAGTCAGTCGTGAAGCACTTCTTCAGATTGTGAAGGAGGCAGATTAAAACAAATAAATAATTAAACTCAGAAGCTCAGAAAGTCGGCATGAATGTAAGCAGAATGGCAGGGTAATATTAAAGCTCTCAGCGTGCATGCCTGCCTACCTCTTTTCCAGTGAGGACATGTCGTGCCAGTTTGACCTTGGCGAAGTTGCCTTTGCCGATGGTTTTCAATAACCGATAGTTACCAATGTGCGGCTGCTCATCTGATGTGGCTGAGTTCCGACATTGCGGCATGCCGGAGCGGCCAGATGATGACTTGGACTCCTGGAAAGAGAAAAGGCAATATGTGAGCGTCGGCAGAGAGCGACAGGAGAAATATGATGTAGCAAAATATGAATAGTGCTTTTATTCCAGCTGTGCTGAAAACATTCTGGACTGGACACTTGAAGCTTTTAAGGACAGATGAGATTTTAACAAAGCTTTTTATTTCATGTTCTTCTTTTTTTCCATGTTTAGTGTCACAAACTGGCCCATTTCTACATTTTAGCCATTATGTTATTTCTTCGAATGGAGGCGGTGAAAGAAAAAGAAAATCAATAACATGTATTAAAAGGCTGGGTAACAATATAAGGTCTACAGAGACATTGGTTTTAAAGCAACAGATAACCTCTGTTTTATACATAATTAAGAAAAATATTACTTCTAACAGAACTTTACAAATAATGGATAAAGGACTTGATTATAAACACATCATTTGACAAATGTAAGTAAATGCACACATCCAAGATAAAAGGAGTACAACTGAACAACTTGCAACTGCCACAAGGTCAACAAAAAACAACCAAATTCAAGTTTATTAAATAAAAAGTATGGTTTTTAGAGAAAAGAAATTCTCAGTTACTGTTTTCAGGTAAGCCTTTTCAAATAATACTGACTGAAACACCTTCAGACTTCTACTTAAGGACATTAACTGGACATTAAAGCTCCAGCTGCATTTTCACACTAAAATGGCAGCATTACGCTTGAGACTTGGAATGGAGAGCAAATACCGATTATAATCTCTGATGTGTCTTCAGGGAAGTAAACTGTTAAAAAAATATTGGGTTCCACTTTGTGAAAGAAAAAAAAAAAGAAGAAGAAATCTTATCACTCAAAAAACTTTTTGAGAAAATGACAGTAATGAAGCTTTTTAAACCTACAACATATAAAACTGGAAGCTGCCTCTATTCTCGCCATAAACACAATTTAGGAGAAAACAATGAATGTATTCTACATACACAGAAAAGCTACAAATGCACAGATCACAAGGAAGTGCTGGAAAACTAAACAGCAGTTTACTTCCATGTTCTGTCTTTTTAAACTTGAGGTTAAAACTAACAATGTTCCAAAGTTTCTAACATTTGCTGCACATTTATTGCTTTCCTTGTAATATTTACCGGAACATAACACTAGTTAATATCTTGGCAGGTGCAGATGTCAATAAGAAGACTGTTGAACAATAAAACCATGAAACAGTCTGATAACACTCTTTTGCGTTGTCAAAGTACACATGCTGCCAATGCGAGCTTCATTTTGTTATTGTCAATGTTTTACTGTGGTTAATGTTTCACACTGCAGCCAGTCATGTCCCACACACAGTATTTGCCTATCTGTAAAATGTTCATACTGCGCTTCAGACGAATCCAAACATAAAATATTTTAACTCCTCTTCTTTAAATGAATCTGTGCGAGTTTAATTTGAAACTCCATAATGAATGTAAATCCCTGATGGAGGTTCTTTGTGTGGCTTCTGCCAGGCCAGTAATGTAAATTATTTTAATAGCGTCTTTATATAGTAACACGGAGTAAAACTGCTTCAGTTTAGTTCATCTTACAGCAGACAGTAGGCCCTTCCAGTCACACACACAACCCAAAAAAGAAAACAAAACCTTGCTGTGCTGGCAAGTTTTGCATGGTTGGCAACTGCGATTGGGTTTCAACTCCAGGAAAGGGTCACGGCAATTGTGTACGTGTGTGTGTGTCTGTGTGTGTGTCTGTGTGTGTGTGTGTGTGTGTGTGTGTGTGTGTGTGTGTGTGTGTGATCCGAGCGGACAGGTGACGGGGATCAGGGTCAGAGGAGAGGACGACTGGCTCCAGAGTGACGAGTTGCAAACACACGCACACACACTCAGGCTGCGACACGAACAGCGGTGCACAAGCACTACAACACACACACGTGTGCGTGTACATACACAGACGCATGAGTTGCACACACCTCTCAGAGATCTGACACCATTGGGAGAGCGAAATTCACACTGCTGGTGAAGACGTGAAGAGGTTCGAACAAATCGTCTCATTCTTTTGTTCTCTCCCTCTAACACCGACCAGTCATTTTATTCACCTAATTATCTTCCTCTTGCTTGAACAAATTAGAGGCTTTGCTCTGTCTTGCAAATTACCCACAGACCACAGTTTTATCAACACTGTCTTCCCTGTTACCAAATCTTAGGCCATGGGAAACAAGCACGATTGCTTTACTGTCTTTGTGTGTTTCTTGCTCCAGATGGTATGATCTAATGTCTGCATCCCAGCCACCCCCCCACTCACACACAAGCATCCTCATGCTGACAGTGCAGACCTGCATTAGTTGTAATAGGCCAGATTAAGCTTCAACACAAGCGGGGGAACTGGGATTAAAAACAAATGACAGCTACATTAAACCCAGTGGACAGGGGACGGGCCTTATGTGGTCTTGTGTGAGGGGCGAAGCAAATGATTTTTATTTTTGGAACATGTGGGAGAGGGAGGCAGACAAAATGTCCTATATGGACACTATTTGAGACAATGAGACCCCGTCTGACCGTGCAAAGCTGATTTCTAGATCAGCTGGGCTGTCCTCACGGACGTCTAAGTGACCTAACTCCCTCTGACACTCGCTCGGCTTTACATTGATCTCACTAGAGTGCTGCTGTCCAAACAAAACATTTGTGTCTCCCAAGGGTTTCTACAAATTGATTAGCCATCCTATTTGGTCTGTTGTGATGCCATTTATATACAGCTGTGATTACATAATTTCATACAGAGCAGACTGAAGATGCTCATGAATAGTTCTTAAGTTCTATTGGAAAATAGCAGTAATGATAGTAAACTGCTGTGGAAAATGAGACATGTGTCCACACAAATCATCATGACTTTTTCCCCTCAGTGTATTTTCTGCTTTAAGCAATAACCTGATTTCATCAAGCTGATACCAAGTAGTCTAAAAAAAAAAATGTTTCCATGGCTGAACAAATACTTGTAGCATGCAAATGCATTTGTGCCGTAAGTTTTCTTCAATACATATAAACTCACTAGGCCATTTTCCAGCAGGCAGCAACCAAAATGGTTGCATATGGGACCTTTTTTTGAGAGTTTGCGAGTTAAATTTTCACGTGGTCACATTTGTGCAAGTGCATGATGATCATTAGGCTGATTTGGTGCCCCTCCGGCTGGCACAGGCAGATACTGTGCGAGCCACTGTGGCAGAAAAAAAGTATTTTTTTCTTCACTGGCTCAGTCAGTCTCTCTCTGCCTCATGTCAAACAATCCATTTATATGGTCGCGTGTTCCAATGATGACACAATCCATAGCTGATCATTTTAAAATACAACATGAGGAGTGAGAAGAGGATGCTGATGGAGAGGTCCCAACTCAGACACACCTGATGACCAGAGTGCAGGTGTGGGCAGAGAGCTAATGACTCTAATGAGTCTATTAGGAAGAAAGAGCAGCCACCAGATCATGTGCTGGTGCTGCCAACTGAGAAAGTTTGTGGCACCAGTGCTACCAGTGGAAAAGTTAGTCTGGAACCGTACTGCCCTCGTAGAACCATTTCAGGTCCATTTTCAGGGGCACATACTTCAGACATTGCCATTAACAGCGTGAAATTCACCATGTCAACTAACATAGACCCTGGAGTTACATCCACTAACTACTATTTGTTGTTACTTCCCACACTTGGAGTTGACGTCATGGTCGAACCATTTGTATTCTACACTGCAATGGAAACAAAGGCTGAAATGTCTGATTGCGTAGCTGTTCCTGTAAACGTTTGCGTCACCTTGCGTCTGTGGTGAATTCCTGCCCTGGGAAGATGCTCACTGTTTTGATTTCCTGGATGCAATGATTTCTGCAAGTCACTTGGTTTCTGGTTTGCACACAAAGATGTTGACTGACAGGTAAAACTATCAATGACAGTAATGACGGAGAAAAAATCTCAAGCATTGTTGTTGTGGCTACATGAGGATGACTTGAAGCAAAGAACAGCTCGTGTGGCATTACAAGAAATTTTTTAATACTGTATATACTGAGACAACCAGACCATTCCCATAAACATGACCACCATCCAAAAGACAAGCTGCCCACCTCCGAACGACAAAAAACATCCAGTCATATAAGTACAACGCATTTTCTAACCAAGTCTCCTCAAAAGACAAACATAAAACGTATGGTGGGGAACATGCGGTAAAAAGCAGCAATAGGCAAGAATTGCTTGGTCAAAGGGGGACTTTCCACACAAGCAAAAAGTCAGCATACATTAAGGTTTTAAAATATCTGGAGTTTATGTTGAGGCTATAAGATCCCTTTATTATCTTATTCTACCTTTATAGGCAGGGAAAACAGAAGATTATGGGGTTAAGATGAGACAACGTAACATACTAAATGTATTTCATAATTTTCCCACTTTTATTTATCAGACTTTTAAAAAAAATTAATTCACAAATATAATGCATATTTGTCAAGATGCAGTCAAAAGGTTCATTTTAAGTTCTCCAAGCAGTTTGATGTTATACACTAGACAGAAACAAAGAACAGCCAAAACAGCATTACAGCATGTTAAAATTCCCATTCTGCTGAAACGACATCAGATGACCAAGGCTGTACAACTGTGCCACTGGCTTGATGGTTAGACGATCTGACATTTACACTCACTTCAAGGCGCGATTGTGTTGGAGTAAGAGAGAAGCTGAGTGCTGTACTCCTTTCTAGCCCTATTTTTTTTGCCTTATTACGCAACTATTTGTGGCGTCATTATCTTCACTTTTTAACAATATCATTGTTTCGATGACAGTTGCATTTCACACTGACTGTAAGCACGGCTGTCCCAAACAGCTACTCAGATTTTTGCCGAAGTTGGGAGGCGCGTCTTGTGAACTAGATCTGAGAGACCACAAACGGGCCTTTACGATTCAAGCGTGTTTCCTCTGACTCTTCCGCGGTCCTCGACTCTTTAGTCTTCCTCCTCTCCTATCCCCTTTCATGTCTGACTATTTTTGTCTACTGATTCTTCCTTCATTTTTGGGCAG